AGACTAAGGTCTTAAATTATATTGATATATTGATTAAAAAACTGCATAAAGAGTCTCTTAATAGCCTATTTATTCTAGAATAAAGAAAACCTAATTGACAAAGGAAATTAAAAACCAAAACAGGAAATAAAAAAAATCCTAGTAATAGGAAAGCAAAAGAAGTAACTATTAATTTAAAGAAACTAGAACCCTAGCCCAATTCACTAACGAGCCTAAGTAATCTTAAAGAACTTCGTAGATGCTCCTGCATTACTTAAGCTTGAAAGTCACATATGATCACTGAATCGCAAAGCAAGAATAGAAAGTAGCTTATTTGTGTAACCATAGGCTTGAGGGAGGGAGGAAGGGCAAAAGAATATTCCATTGGAGCACCACTTTGGTTCTCAAAGGAAACTAACAATGGTAAACATATGCTAGAATAAAAGAACAAGAAATTTCCATAACATGTGTGGAAAAAAATGCACACAGAGGCCTTGCTCTAACAAAAAAAAACTCTTCCTATAACCAAAAAAAAATCAGCAAGCATTATACAAGACAGAATCATACCTCATAACCATATGTCCGAACTTTAACTTTGCTCTCAATGCTTGCTGCCTTCTGGATATCATCTTCCATCTTCTTTTTCACATTCTCAAATTCATTCTGCAATGCCGCAAGTTTCTCCATATTTGCAGCAACGCTTGATAGACCATAAGCACCACGAGTAGGCAAGTACATGAGATCGTTTAGGCAAGTTTTGTGTGCTTCAACAAATTCATCAAGGGATTCTTCTTCATGGCCCATTGCAACACGAAGATACTGAGCCTCTTCCTTTATCATTGAATCAGCCTGCTTACAGCATGGAGATCATAAACAATATGCAGATATATAATCATTAGACATGCTTAAAAGTAGTCTAAAAAATGAAAGACATTGGATCAAAATGAATAAAATTAAAAACAGTCAACACAATGAATTGAACATCTGGTATAATTTCATCATGCCCCAGCGAACAACTGATTGCAAACTATCTAAAGAGTCTATATTCATCAATCTATACTTTTAAAAGATCTTTTTGAAATGACCATCTATTATGTACACCCATGTTTAGGACTCTTGGTACAATCTCATTTTAAGTTTAACTCACAACATGGAGATCATAAACAATATGCAGATATATAATCATTAGACATGCTCAAAGGCAATCTAGAAAAATGAAGGACATTGTGTCAAAATGAATATAAAAAAAGTCAACACAATGAATTGAACATCTTGTATAATTTCATCATGCCCCAGCGAACAACTGATTGCAAACTATCTAAAGAGTCTAAATTCATCAATCTACACTTTTAAAAGATCTTTTTGAAATGACCACCTATTATGTACACCCATGTTTAGGACTCTTGGTACAATCTCATTTTAAGTTTACCTTATTGCTTCACCTTTTCAATACTAATAGTTTGTCAAACTTCAGTCTCAGTCTGTCTCAACACACATCAGATCTCACTAAACTAATTTGGGGGAACAAATCTTTTATCATATCCATATAGAAGTACATAAATACACACACGTATTTAAAGTAAGAAGTCAAAATTTACTCCACTAAATACTCATACAGCTGCTTTTTAGCAAACCCTTTGCTACATAACAAAACATAATGCTTAAACAAGATTAGATTTTTGTCAACCCAGGCACATATGAAACAGTACTTAATAAATTGAATAAAAGAAGACAGTACCACCACCTCCATGTATGTATGTGTGTCCGTATGAAGGTGGCATTATGAAAGCAATGACATATAAGAGGAACTAAACACACACCTCTGTCATTTCATCTTCTTCAAAATCTTCTATCACAGGGACAGAAGCACTAGGTCCACCAGCACTGCGCTTGGCACCTTTCTTTTTCCGTTTGTCTACTTTCTCAGTAAGTGGATACTTGGCATTATCATGCTCCAGTACACTAAGAAGTTCCTTTTTAACCATTTCATCAGCCTGCTCAACTGAAGTAGGAGGAACAAAGGAACTCTTGTCTCCATCTGCTCTTGTCAAGGAATTTCTAATAAATTCCAATGAGGCAGCTGGTGGTCTGGGGAGCTCCCTCTGCAATACTTTTGATCTCTTCCTAAGTAACGCCTGCTGGCGTGCTTCTTCCTCAGCTCTTTCTCTAGCTAGCCTATCAGACATGTCTTCTTCAATTTTCTCCTCGGGTTCTTCATTATCTTCTGGAACTGGTTGCATGACTATCTGGTACTCATTCTTCGGCTGTGGTAAATTGCCTAAACCAAATTGCAAGTTTCTTCGTTGCTCCAATTTTGCACTATCATGTATATCAATTTCTTCATTGATACGGAGCTCATCCCTAATGGGAGTCCCCTTTGGAGTCATGCCAAAAGAATCCCTTGTTGGAGTCATGCCAATTCTAGGTGTAAGACCCGCACCTCCAGGAGTTGCAGAAGGAGTCAGCATCAGATTTGGTGTTTGAATTTCTTTTTTTCTAGGAGTGACCCCAGAAAAATCTGATGGGTGCAACTCTGGATTATCTCCTCCTAATAACGGTGTTTGAGACTCTCTCAACCTGGCCAAATTTTCTGCTTCCATCATGATTGCATCACCCTTTCCAGAAGGTGTTCTTTGAGGTGTTCTTTGAGGTGTCATTCCCAACCTTGGTGTCTGGGAATAGTTTGCAAGAAGAGCTCGAGTTGCACCACTACCTTCTGTGAGTTCTTCACTCCCTGCAAGATCACTTGCATAACCCATCTTTGCAATTTCCTCCAGCTCATGGTCTGAAATTTGGGGTGCAGGAAGCATCAGTTTTGATCTCTTCCTAACTGTTTCTGGATCATTCAATTTGTTGGCTTGTAGAATAGCTGAGGGAGCATCCTGCCTTTGAGCAATTTTGTTCTTTGCAATATCTTGCTTTCTTAACTGCGCTTCCACATCAATCCTTCTTTTCCCTTCAAGTTCCTCAATGGTCGTTGGGAACTGAGGCTGTTCCACAGGTCTATCTTCATCAGCAACATCATAAAAGCCTGGAGGAGGCTTCTTCTCAAAGGGAATTTCGGCATTGTAGTCTATTCCCTTCCTTTTCCTCTTTCGCTGCCTAGTATCAATTCCAGCAGCTTTTAATTCTCTTCTTTTCTGTAGTGAAGCAAGCCTTCTGGCCTCTTCAAGCTGTTTCTCCCTCGCTTTCCTTTTGGCCTTCTTGCCCCTAGTGTTTGCTAACCGAGCTCGTGCCTCGGAAAGCATCTCCTTCTCATCCTCATCCATATCAACAGGATCTGGGCGAGCAGGCTTTGACTCAGGATTGGGGTCAATCTCTCCAGGGCGCAATTTCCGTGGATCATCACCTGGTTCATAGTTGTCGTCCTTAACGCAGGCTGCATCAAGCAGTTTCTCATACCGCTCCAGACATTGGGATGGTGTACGACCAACAATTGGGGCAATGGTTCTCCATTGTGTAGGCATGAGCTTAGCAAGATGAAGAAGCTTCTCATCCTCTTCTCTAGTCCACTCAGTCTGCAAGAATCAGGGTAATTGAATCAGCATACAAATCCATCTAACTAAAACTAAAAACAAAAATAAAGGCAAACCAAAGGATGCGAAATAGACTTAGGGTAAGGGGAAAAAACAAATAAATAACAAATAGAATAACAAATTTCATATTTTGCTCCCATCTCAGTATAATGGTAACCCAAACTAAAAAAAAGTGGAATATTTAAACAACTGAAAGAAACCAAGCAGACTGAAAAAATCAAAATATAACCATATCAGTTTTCAGAAGCACCACACAAATCCTAAATAACTCCACATTACAAGTTTTCACAATCTCCTATATTTCTTCAGTAACCAAACATCAAACTGAACAAAAGTGATAGTAATAACAATAATAATAAACAATACATTACCTTTTTGATGGAGGGGTCGAGCCATTCGTACCAGCGAGCCTTACACTGCTTAGCCGATTTGCGAACCAAGAGCGACGAGATTCGAGCCCACTGGTTCTTCCCGTATTTCATGACCGCCGCCTTGAGGATCTCATCCTCGGTGTTCTTCCACACACCTCCTTTGATCATAATCCTCATCTTGACCTAGTTTCTTTAATTCACACACTGATTGATACGATTGATAGAAAATCCTAGGGTTTTTCAATTAGGACAAGACGAAGAAGAAGAAAACTGGAAAAATCCTTCCTTGGGTTTAAGAACCGGTGATAATTGGATTTGATTAAACCCTACCGCGCGCTTCCCTCCATTCTTCGTATTAAATCGGTGGCTAACTCTTGTCTCAGTGTAAAATCTCAGCTTCTATATATAGTACTTCTTTTCCCTTTTTTGTTTGGGAGAGTAGCGTCCTTCTCTTATGAGGAGAGGATGTCCTCCTTTTATTTTATGAGAGGATGCCAGTGGAGGTTGTCGTTTTGTTTAACCCAACCGACCCGACCCAGGCCACCAAAATATGGGCTTAACTATAGTTAGATCGTGTACAGGCTTGCCCAATCTTAAAAGCCGTTGGATAAAACATCTCGCGTGTTGTTGTTTGTGTTTTTTTTTAATATACACTCGATGATCTAAAGTACTTAAAATTAATTTAATTTATGCGAAGGAAACTCATATCTGGGTGCAAATGGTGGACTTACTATCCTATCCAACTAGCCTAATCCACATCTATCATTTGGCAAGTTCTTTGAATCCTTGATTGCATGATTGAGAGTATTTGTTTCTGTTTTTTTCTTTTCTTTTTTTATATATCAAGAAAATTTGTTCTGTTAATCTTCATAACGCAAATGCCATTTTTCTTTGTAATGTATATTTTTGAAAAGAAAGAAAAAAAAAGAATTTTCATACAACGCAACACAAGATAAAACCGAATTCGAATAGCCTTCCTCTCAAAATTTCAACTTACAACATTGATTTCTCATTTTAAAAAAAATTTGACAGCTAAATTGGTACAGAATAGCATCAGTAGTTAGCTCATGATAGCTTGCTGCTGCATGTCTCTCCGATTTACAAACATTTTTCATCACCTATAATATGATGCCAGAATGTAGAGCATGACTGCAGTTGCTGTGGTGATTATCAATTCCTGCATGCGCAGAAAGATTTTCACAAATGGTTTATTAAAAGATTTTCCCAAGCGTACAACATTATACAATTGATTTACCTTCTTTGAATGTACAACAAGGTCTATCAGATAAACGCAAAGATGTTTATACTAGCAATACCTGGTTATTGTAAAGAGCAGCAGGAATAAAGCTACCCATAAACTCAATCAAATTCAGAAGACCGGTGTATCCCTGCAAGAAATTAAACAAGAGTACTGGTGAAATTAACATAAACAAGAGGAATTGAAATTATAACATAACCAAATATTAAGATCGGGAGCCAAATTAAACCCCAAAATCTCCCTGTCAAACACTAGGGCACCAATAATTCAAACAAGATAATATACCAGGGAAGCAACAGCAATACAGCCAAACACTAGGGCAAGAGAACGAAGTAGCCGTTTTCCCATTTGCAGTCCTCTCCCTGCCTCCTCACCATCTTCCTGAATCAATAGCATAATTAGATCGAAAAGTAATTCAAAATAGTAAATACAGCTCATCATAAGTTCCTGAATATGGTTTCAAAAAATGAAAATAATGAGAGGCAATCTATGTTTAGCAATATGACTCACTGTATAAGTTGGAGATACAGGTGGTTCAAAGGATTTCAACTTCTCAAAGATCCGATAAACAAATGCAAACGTTAAAAACTGCAGGGGTTTATATTCAGCATTCCGCTTGATAAGAAGCCAAGCAATCTGCAAAAGATGAGGGTACAGAAAAAAGGAAATCAAGTAGAATAAAAACAAAAGAAACATGAATGATTATTTTGCTGAAAAATATAAGTTGTGCTAGGACCATATAATTCTGCCTGGCAAAAATTATCACAGAAGTACAATGGCCATGCAAAATCACATCACATGCACAGGGTAACCCTCCCTTCTTAACCTGATATTTCATAACAAAATAAATGGTGTTTTGCTCAAATCAGCTGCCAAATAGGTATCGAATCCATGGGAGATTTGAACCTGGAACCTACTCTAAACAAATTGGAGACTAATGCCACTAGATATCACTCATCCCGGTTAGCTCCAAAAAGGACAATTCTGGTTAGCTCTCAAAGATATAACTCATCCTTTCCACATAGGCTAAAATATCTATCTAACAGAAACTAGAAACCACAAAGGTATAACAAAATTACAAGAACAGTGCAGAAAGTAATCAAAGGTTCAAAACCTCGTGAAAGTCGGATGCCTTTGAGAATTGTTTCATAACCAACACCATCCACCAAAGAATATTTTCCAAAACAATAAAAGAAAAAGGATAAAGATAATCAACCATTCCTTCACTACTTACAAATACAGCAGATATTGCCAGGTTGATGCGCATATCTTGTACAGTAGACTTGGTGAACCTATAAACATATTAGAAGTCCATAGATTATAACATACAGTGCCACCACTAGACTACTTATATCCTGTTAAAACAGTCAATACATCACACATGGAGAAAAGACATGAAAGCGATTTCAAATTTTAATTGAAAAATGGCATGCCTCAAGTCATGTTCACAAAAATGCCAATGCAGAATATAAAAAAAAATCTGAATAGTTATAGCATTGTCCATGTTGAGGGCTCATAAGAACAGCCAGCATTGTCATGAGATGACAAGTGAGTGGCATCATTGCCAGAGGTCCACATGAGATTTACACTGCAAAAGTACCAGCCTCTAGCTAACGCATGGGTAACCTACTCTTTGCTTCATATAATAGAATGCATGCTTAACCAAGTATCAAAATCAGAAGCCACTAATATGCATCTTCTCAACAACACTATTTTCTATGCTACTAATTAGGAGTCACATGATGCGTAGACAAACCTAGGCCCCCATGGTACAATTGGTTGCTTATCAGCATATTTTATGTCCTTTGAGACCTGCAATTTGAAAAAAAATATAAGAGGAATCATCAGTACAAGGCAGAAGAAAAAAAGGATGATAATAAACTTTTCTTGTTATGTTGCAGCTGATAATTATTCAACCTGAAATTGGAATTATTGCAAAGATAAAATTGAGAAGAGCGTAATACCTTGATGGAAGAAAATTCAGAAAATAAAGTATCACTGCATGTACCTTGAAGGAACCAAACGTCACACCTTTCTTCCTATTACTTAGCTGTGCCATCATGACCTTGTCATATGCTTTCTCCAGCTACATAAATGATTATGTAACCATAAGAATATCGTTCATGAGGTGGTTGCAACCAAATATTTTGAGAGAGAAAGAGAGAGAGAGAGAGAGAGTTGAAACCTACTCTGGCAGCAGTTGCTTCATCACCGCTCCTTACAGCCTCCTTGTGTTTTTTTGTATATGCTGCCTTGATCATGTCAAACCCCTCAATGGGGCTCACACCGAGAACCTGGGGGTTATTAGAAAACAAATAAATAAATAAAGTCCAAATAAACGAGTACCCACTTATTCAGTCACTTGCAACATTAATTTCAAGGGTTTATACTATTTACATACTGAATTTACCTCATATGGGTTTAAATCACTGTCTGGATTAGAACTTCCAGCTGCAGATGCAGCCGCACAAATTATCCTTGTATTCTGTGGAATTGTTCTAGAAATATGATAAGTTTAACACCCTGTTGCTAAAGTTATACATTCAAAGCATGAACAATAAGCTGAATAAAGTTGTTGTTGGATGATTGTAGTAGCGTTATCATCCACACAAACCCATTAAATACATAAAAACAACAACTAAGAATAAGTTTACATTTATGAAATTTCCAAAAGGTTCTACAATGCTCTGCAACTCTACCCCTAGTTTCCCGCAGTTTCTCAACCAAACCTTACTACATACAGACTTAAACTTCTATGATTTCTTAACTATAACAATATCTACGTAAAATTCAGCATTCGACCCTTGAAAAACTGAACGTTCTATTGACCAACTCTTATCTCAGTTTTCCGACCAACCAAACACAGAGAAACGGCTCAAAAGAATGAGGCATACAAAGGTTTCCAACAAAGTGATTAAATTAAATTACCTGAAGAAAGAAGGCTGGAACCTTAACTCTGGGACTTTAGGGCGGAAATTCCTCTGGGAAAACTGCAATTTGGGGCAGTGAAAAGCATGAGAAATTGCCAAAGCCATTTGCACTGAGGAAAATGAGCTTAGTTTGAATTTATGGGTTCAGGGTTTTATAGGGTTTTGAGCTTTTGAGGTGTGAGTGAGGAAGATAGAGAAGTATTACGGGAATGGGCTTGATAATGGGAGAAACTCGGTATTGGAATTGGAATTGGAATTGGAATTTTCTGTTTGGATAACAGAGTTGGGAATTAGAATTCCTTGAACCAAAGCCCTTTTTTTTTGGTCAAGAAAACGGCCCTTTTTCTTTCTTTTGTAAATTGTAATGTAATTTTAACTTCTTCAGTAACTCTGCATCAAAAAAACTTCTTCAGTAACTTTTTTTATTTTCGTTTTCCTATAGTACCCTTGTGTTTGTGCATGTTTTCAGGCCTACATACTTGAAATGCTAATGCTGGGTTTGAAAACTTTTATATATTTGGGGAGAATATAAATTATCTCTTTTCAAATTCAAAATGAATTTTGCATTTATTTTTTATTAATTTTACAACCCTTTTAGCTTATGAATTTTGATCACATATGCCTTGTTTTATTTTGCTCCATTTGAAATAATATAAATTTTTAGTTTCTTTTTGTCTCTTGTTTATTGTACAATATTGAATTTATTATTCATATATACAAGCCTCTCTGCACGCGCTTCCGCGACCGTGAGAGGGCTTTTTTTTTTAAAAAAAACTTTATTTTAGAATTAAAAAAGATAATTGGGTAGTTGTGTTCCATAAAAATAGGATTTATTATCTGTCTTTTAAATAAAAAAAATTTTAAATATGAAAAAATATGAATTTACCATATTATCCTCATTTAATTAATAATTTCAATTCTTAATGTTTGCATTAACCAATGACATTTTTTGATATTTTGAATGTTTCACCGTTCTCTATCTTTTGCTATATATATATAGATAATTATTAATTAACACCACCTTCAAAAACTGAAACCAAGAATGCCAACTCTCCTCTGCTTTCTTCTGTGGGGGAAAAACAAAGAATTGAAAAAGAAAACTAAATTGCACTAAACTCCATCATGCAGTGGCAGACTGGCAGTGCTACTGTTGATGGCTCTCCAGCTTTCATAAAGAGGCTGTACCAAAAATCCATGTCTTCATGGGTCTTGGATCCTTCCCTTTTCATGATTTGCCCCGCGGTAGAGTTAGAAGAAGAAGAGAAAGGAGGCTGAAGTCCTGGATCTGCATTAATAATATTTGGACTACTACATGTCCGTTTTGACAACAACTTGTTATGAAGATCATCATCAAGTCTAAAAAAGGTTGTTGGTGCATATTGGATAGGACATTGAATTCTTCGGTCTCCGTTCTTGAGGGGGATGATATTATTAATGCTTCTGGTCAGGGGGGCTGCTGCAGGTACTTGACTTTCTTGTTCAACTCTCTTCTTCAAGTGAGAGTGCCAGAAATTCTTTATTTCATTGTCTGTCCGGCCTGGCAATCTTGATGCGATGGCAGACCATCTGTACATAACAATTAAAACACTAAATGAGTTTCTAAGCAAAACCAAAACGCTTGTTGTTGTTGATTGTTTCTTCGATCCAATCCAATGATTCCCGTGAAAAAGTAATTACTTTGGATACTCAACTTAGGCATATTATTAAGCATAAAATCTTCTTCAGCAAATTATATGTATACACAAAACATAGGAGCTCCATCTCAGAGTAGCAAACAGATTACAGTGTCTGTAAATTCTAGTATATGATCAGCTATATAGTACATATAACTAGTCCATTTCATAGCTTGTGTGTCTGTGACAGAGCCTAGCTAGAGGAAAATTAATTGTTTGATATCATATATAAACTTTTTGGAGCTAGCTAATGATAATTGTAATGTTCACTACATGATATATATATATATATAAATATATCGAATAAATAATGAAGTAGTTAATAAGAGATGATGATGAGTAGTGTACGCTCCTATTTCCAAGAAGTTTATGCAGCTCGAGGATGGTTTCTTCTTCTTCCTTGCTAAAGTTTCCCCTTTTAATGTCTGGCCGCAAGTAGTTAAACCACCGAAGTCTGCAACTCTTTCCACACCTCGACAGACCTATATATGTATATTATTTATATCAAAAAAATCATATATATTAATTAGTAGATAATTTATACTGACCAGCTTGTTTTGGAAGCGCTCTCCAATTAGAATGGCCATGTTGTCGGATGTAAGAAATCAATGTCTCATCTTCTTCGGGCGTCCACGGTCCCTTCTTTAGCCCCATCTTCTCACAACAAGGAGCCCTCCCCATTTTTCTCATCAAATAGTTAACCAGCTACTAGCTAGCCAGTCCGATATATATAACCCCGGTTTTTGGTTAATTTCCTGTCCTCACACGCAACGCATGCACCACTATAACACTAGAATAATAATAAATATATATAAATATAGTTGAAGAGATGCCATGGATATCATCGTTGATCACTAAAGGAAGAACACTTCAACTGTAACTTTTATTCTTGAATTTAAAGCAAATGACGAATTCATTTCGTCATGTGCCATTGTTCCTCTCGTCTTGGTTTGAGTTGGAAAACTTAGAAAAACACTTTTTGGCGTCTAATGGTCAAATATAACATGCGCCACTAGCGATCATCCAAAGCCGCCCTGCTTTGCTAGCAATATCTCGATATATATATATATATAGGGGGCGGATCCGTGGCACCATATTTTTTACACAAGTTTTGACACAATTTTTGGGCCATTAGATTACTCCACTTTTAATGGTTGAGATTAAATCTGACATGAGAAATAGTTTTAATGTTTTAAATAAACAATCATTAATTTATTTTCTCTCTTATAAAAATAAATAAAATTATTTTCTCTCTCCTCCCTTTTTTCTTGGAAACGTAATCTCTCTTCTTGGTAATATCCTTTTTTCCTTGGTAATCTAATCTCTCTCTCTCTCTCTCTCTCTCTCTCTCTCTCTCTCCATATAGGTACAATTCATCTAGCATATTAGTTCCTAAGTTTTGAGAACATGATAATTAAGCATCCACTTGCCTAATCAATCCTAGACAATGGGAGGTTGTGCTTGATAGACAGTTGCTTAAGAGATTTTGGTACAAGTATTTATGCATCGACTGCTGGAGATTTTCAATTATATGTTGTAATTGTTTGAGGCTATTCTAGTGAATTACTGTAGCTTATTGAAATTGTCAAATATGAGATGCTCTGCTCCAATTATTGTTTGGCTGGGAAAAACAGGTTCTTGAAAGATTTGGAAGAAGCTTAGAGAGTAGCTCGGACTAGCAATGCCGTCTGAATTTTGGGTTCTTGTATATCTTTCATTTCAAGAGCCATGTGCACAAGTGTTTGTGGATATATACGGGTGTTTAGATATGGTCACTAGCTATAATATCAAAAATTGGGTTCATCAGAATTGCCCACTGTACCTGCAGAACACACGGCCATTTTGTTACCATTTTGTTCGAGTAAGAACTGAAGGGGATTTGTATCCCATAAATTTGGAGGGTAAGATCTAACAGCAATTTCCCTCCCTACCATAAGAAGCATATAGAAAAGAATGAGATCTCACATCTTTGCACCAATTTTTTCGCTAACCGAGATGGATACCAGAGAGGAAGGAGAGAGAGAGAGAGAGAGAGAGAGAGTCCCTGTGATTTGTGGTTTAGTGAGGTAGGGTAGGGGTTGGAGTGGTGGTGGTGGTGAGGGTGGCCTTGGGGATGAGAATGGGACAAGATAGAGAGAGAAGCAGTAGAGGCACATGAGGAGGCGTCAATTCTCTTTAGAAGAAAGAGAGAGAATGAATTAATTAAAGATAATTAATGAGATGAGAGAGAATGAATTTTTAATTAATATGATATCAGAAATTTAATCCCAATGTGTAAATATTAATTAAAGAAAAAAAATATTGTTTTGCCATGTCAGGTTTAATCTCAACCATTAAAAATCGAGTAATCTAATGACACAAAAATTGTGTCAAAACTTGAGTCAAAAATATAGTGCCACGGATCCGCCCCCATATATATATATCTATATATATATCTATATATATGGGGACAGAAGACAAAAACATGCACGTTTTGTTTATTCATTATGCAGCCGCAGCACAGCGTGAAATGAATTGTATTTCAAGATATTACGTACTTAGATGAAAGCATGGCAGGCATATACGTATCTGCAGAGAAGAGAACTGTCGTGCATGCATCACTGGGGGTTGAACTTAATCTCCAAAAAGAAGCAGGCATTCTTCTTATTAAACTGATTAATCCATCGGTCTTCAAACCAAGTTTGCATTTTTATTACAGAAAGTAGGTAGCATTTTCTTTTGGGACACTGCCTTCTTAACCATGCTTTAATGCTTAGGTCAAGCAGACAATCATAGCCCAGACAAGATCTTGACTATGTCTGGGGCAAGAGATCTCCAATTATACTTCCTTCAGGACAGTCTAGCCCCATAAAGGAGGCTGACTATATTATATACATGCATATCAATTCCCTATTTCTATGCAGAATCTCTGCTTTTACCGACAAGGATTTTTGACCGCATAAACTAAACTCATGCGTTAATTGACTTTAATTCAAACGAGGCTCAAGCGTTTTGGGGGAGCAACTATCTGTTTCATGGCTTTTGTCTTTCTTCATCAAATCCAAACTTTTATTGAATATCAAACCAGCCCAGCCCAGACAAGACCAAGTGGACCGGGTTTTATAGATCTTGATGTTGGAAAAAATAGCACAGCCCAGCCCAGCTGTACCGGCATGTCCTAAGTTGGAGCCGTAGACCCACAAAAGTGGTGAAGTGAAAGCCCAGGGGTCGCCGATCAATCAAATCTATTTATCATCCAACTGTTAGAGGGACGTTGATCAAAATATAAACTTGATGATTAAAGAAAGAATAATAAAAATATATTATTAGTAATTAGGACCCAAATGACATATGAAGCTAATATAATAATAAAATGATTGCTTACATCAGAATCTAAATAATTGAATTGATCTAATAGCTAACGTGGAGCATTTTTCCAAAATTAAAATAATGAAACCTCGGAAGATTATTGATTAACATAAGATAATGACATGCTTAACGTGATGCATGACGTTTGCTCCCAAAATTTAGCGATGCATGACGTTGATCCAAAGTGGCATGCGCTATGTTAGTGACTTGCCCTGTCTTTTTTTTAAAAAAAATTGTATTATTCCCATCCATTCAATTATCCAGCTGATCAAACAGTTGAGTTAATAATGGAGAGAGAAACCTGCTTTTCTTAGAAAAAAAGAGTTTGAGATTTTACATTAGCTACAAAGATAGACAAAAAAGTTAATAATGGAGAGAGAAACATATGTACCAGTCACTCCTCATATGAGTCGTGTCATCAGTGATCAACCATGATTATTAATATTAAAAGATTCCATATAATCAGGTTGGAATTCCCCCACCACAAAGAAAAGGTTGGATTTCTCTTCTTTGAAAAGAATAATTCGCATTGTTTAGTGAGCTTAAAATCAAAAGTTATGCTAAATTTTCTTGATCGAAACAAACACGTGTCTAATGTGATCGTCTTTAGGTTGCGTTCGGTTTATAAAAAGAGAGACTTGGCAAGTCATTCGTTCCCAAATAAAGCGAAACTTTAACTAAAACCACTAATTAATTAACTTGAAGAATCATATCTCAAAAGCGTTGCTCCTATTTTACTATTTAAGCATATCCCCGTAATTTTTTATTCAGTTCATTTCATAGTGAAAAAACAAAAACAAATAAAAACATTAATAATAAGGTTAGGATAGGATGGTGATGAAAATTGCAAGAAATAATAAGGAAGAAAAAAAGATTTGGGGTGCTGCATGCACGCCTACTCATCTCATAGACTACTTGGATACATACCTTTGCAAATTGCAATGCATTATGCATAGGAAAGGTGTAGCATCACTGGACTTACTGCTCTCATTGTCAAAACAACCTTATTTTCATAATAATGGCCAAACCACAATATAGTTGTTAATTAAGAAAAAATGGAGAAGGACTTAATCCTTATCTTCTTCTAGCCTCTAGAGAAGAGACCACGGCAGCCTCCCTCCACCTTCGCGGAGAAAGTGACAAGCACGGCATTAAAGTGAATAAAATGCTTAAGTGCTGGACCAATTGCTTTGGTTTCTTACGACATGACTTGATATTCCTTGATGTTGATTATGATTTATCACATTATAAGCTCAACCTGTAGACGGTACGTACGGAACAGTTTTCTCCTCTCAATCTTTTCCTTTTCTTTTCTTTTCTTTTTCTCTAGTTCCATGTCCAGGTGTTCGAAAGGAGGAGAGAAGTGATAGCAGAGTAGTAGACAATCCTCGGCGCAGACAAGCTAGGTAGCAAGAAGCCAAGGGGCTTACTATTCAGTACAAACTCAGCTATATAAATTATTCATTTGATTCGATCTAAAAGTTTTTTTATCTTTTCCGGAAAGAGACTGATTTGACAAATATTTATTTTTATAAATATATTTATCAGTACATTCAGAATTCAGTATGCATAGCTTATCCAAATTTCATAAAAAGCACTGCACCTCAATTACATACAAATTTGGATACAGTCAAAAGTTTTTTTTTTTTTTTTTTTTTTTGGGGGGGTAAAGAAAATTCCACTAGATGAAATAAATTGCCTTCTTTATTAAAAGTCACAATGTCTAATCATCCATATGTTAACATACCAAACCAACGTCTAAATTTTCTGTGGAATTTGGTACATATGAATAATGACGCTCTTGAAACTTCGGAAGTTCTTCAATGTAGAATAGATCATGTTAATCTCTGTTGCCCAAAACAAAACATTAAAAGCTCTTCATTATTTTATTCCCGAACCCAAACTCAAATTTAGCATGCCAAATAAAATCATATTTATCTTCCATCTTCATCTGATTCATTTGTCAATTTCATATATGTTCAATAGTTTTACGGTGTAGTGGTATTTTTCTATTTAAAACTAGAAAAGATATATTGAGTTTGAATCCATTTCTCTCTATGAATAAAAAAAATACAAATTTATAAATAAACCCAATCCTAGACATATATTTATAAAAAAACTCAAACACTATTTAAACATAGAAACACACCCAAAATCAACCCCAAAGTCAACTTTTTGGGTGTGTTTATAAATGGGTTTTGAGTGTGTGTAATGATGGGTTTTGGGTGTGTTTATATGTTTAAATAGTGCTTGTGTTTTTTTATAATTTCAGACCCCATTTTGGGTGTTTTAGTGAAATTCCCTAAAAAAAACATGCTATTATTTTCCCAAAATAAATTTTGAATTTTGAATTTATAATTTTATTTTCTTAAGGGGGGAAAACTGCTCGCGAAATGAGTCATAGCCCAACTTCATAAACAAAAGAAACTTTAATTACTTGTTTAAAAGAAGAAGATTAATTCATTTTTAATAGACTAACAATTCTCGTTTGATTGGTTCTATATTGTAATGAATAGTCGACAGTGATTCACTTGCCGATAATACAATAGAAGAAGTTGTTGTATGTGTACAATGGACATTCGCTCAGTGTGCTTTCAAGTTTTAACTAGAAAAAATTCGTGGTAATTGTTATTAAAGTTGTTTCAAAATTCGTTTTTAGGAATATACCCTTTTTTTGGGTACTAGCTAGTTCTTGAAAGTTCTTGGAAAAATGATTTTCCCGATTTGGGCTTTCCTCTTCGCACTCGCAGAACACCAATAAATTGGGCAGTTGTGTCCTTTTACACTAGTGTACCAGATTCATACCGAAACCGAAACCGAAACCGAAACCAAAACCCACTCGGACTGAAACCCCCCGAAGTCCAACTGCATGTATAAATTATAATTGATGAAACAAAACAACGACAGCCGTACAATTCCTCCAATACTCGTTTGAACCGTTTACTGGCGATTTAGCTTAAACCTTTACCCACCAACCGAATATTCCTCCCGAGTATTCCAATTGTTTTCTTCTATATAACCCAAACACCAAAACTCACGAGAACCCAAAAAACCTGCAACAACCAAAGAAACCCCGAAAAACCAAAATTCAGAGGCTCTCAGAGAGAGCGAGACGCGAGAGAGAGACAAACCAAAAACCACACACATCACAACCATCAACCTACAGAGCCCAAAATCCCCCCAAATGTATGACACATTGAAGGACTCCTACCAACTGTTTGAAGAAATCGGCCGCGGCCGATTCGGCACAATCATCCGAGCTTTCTGCCCCAACTCGGCCGAGTTCGTCGCCTGCAAAATCATCGACAAATCGGGCCTCACTGATGCCCAAGACCGCGCCTGCCTCGAGAAAGAGCCCAAGATCATGAGCCTTCTCGCTCCTCACCCCAACATTCTCAAGCTCTTCAACGTCTTCGAAACCGACGACTCTTTGGCCATGGTGCTCGAGCTCTGCGAACCCACTACTCTCTACGACCGGATCATCAAGCGCCCGCTCTCCGAACCCGAAGCCGCCTCCATCATCAAGCAGCTTCTCGAAGCGATTTCGCATTGCCACAGGGTCGGCGTCGTTCACAGGGACCTGAAGCCGGAGAACATTCTGTTCGACTCCAGGAACAATTTGAAGCTCGCGGACTTTGGGTCGGCGGAGTGGGTCAGTGAGGGAGGGTCCATGGAGGGCGTGGTGGGCACGCCATACTATGTTGCGCCGGAGGTGTTGATGGGAAGAGCGTACAATGAGAAGGTCGATGTTTGGAGCGCCGGCGTGATGCTATACATAATGCTCGGTGGGATTCCGCCGTTTTACGGTGAGTCGGCTTCCGAGATTTTCGAGGCCGTTTTGAGAGGGAATTTGAGATTTCCTCCGAAAGTTTTCCGATCTGTGTCTCCGGCTGCTAAGGATCTGTTGAGGAAGATGATTTGCAGAGACGTTTCCAGGAGATTCTCCGCTGACCAGGCACTTAGTAAGTTGCTTCCCCTCTTTTTGTGCGGTTGAAATATCTTCTCACTTTCTATTTGATTTGGGTATTTGTATTTTTGTAGGATCTCACCTGACCTGAAAGACTTAAACTTTCTTTGATTTTGTAGTATCTTTGCTCTGTTTTGCCTGTGAAATATGTTTCCTTTATTGTTTTAGTCTCTGAAAAAAGTGATGGTTTCCTGCCACGCTACGAAATGAAAATTAGGGATAAGTTTCAGAAAATTACTCCTTGCCATGTTCAAAATTAGAAATTGTAGATTTTCCTTTTTAGGAAAGAAATGGAATTGCAGGATCATGTTCGTCTTTTTGTCTTCCTCAATTCATGAGTTTTTATTTTTGTTCTAGTTTTTCATTGATTACTAACAAAGTTTTGTTGTTTTGTTTGTGAAATTCCAGGGCACCCATGGATCTTAAGTGGTGGAGAGGCAAATCCAATAGACTGATCTGACTTGGTTCGAAGATATCATATAAAAGCGCACCAGTCAGAGCCAACCCAAGTACATATAACATATATCCCAAGTTCCCAACCATCTATGTGAATATAAGCGAGCCCACTTTCACTCTCTTGGAGCACAAAAACCCTGATGTAATGGATGGATCCAGAGACCCCCACCCCACTCTTCCAATCAAGAGCTAGAAAAAGAGAAATAGAAGATCGGTCTGAGAGAAAGATGCCCCTGCACATGAAGCTCTTGGAAGGGTTTTTCTTTTTTGTTAGTTTTTTCTCTTTTTTTTTCTTTAAGAAAAAAAGAAAAAGAAAATGTTGTGAGAGAATCTGAGATTGTAGATACATATCATGGGGTTTATGAGGATCCTGTCTTTCCCCGCTTCTTCTGTTTTTTTTTTTTTTTTTTTTTTTTTTTTTTTTTGTCAGAGAGATTAGGAAGTGAGAAAGCAAAACCACTCCCATCCCATAGGCTATGGTACTTTCTTTATCATCTACTCTTTTTGAGTGTAAAAGCATGTTTTGTGTACGGAAAATGTGTGTGTTTTGAGTTGGAATCTGAGTTTCTTTCTTTTTGTTTGTATGGAGATTGGAATCTGAGTTTCTTTCATCTCCCTTTCCTGGTGGAATAAAACGTGTCTTTAATGTAGGTATTTCGGTATATGCCTTTAAATATCCATGTGGAATGCAAGCAAGTATGCAACTTTTGTTGGTTTATGCCATTACTTTGGGATCAAAATATCCATAAATTCTGAAGCTATGTAGCATATGCTTTGATTCCAGTCTCCACCATATTACAACTTTCATTTCATGCCAATAAATGGGTACACACAGGGAAAAAACTATATTATATACCCAATAGCGACATAATCAACGGATATTTTGACTTTTTTAATGATATTTTAGTTGCAGGCCAGGGCAACAAATTTTTATAAATGCTATTTAATAAATTATGTTTTATATTATCGCACCAATCTAGCTTTTTGACGAAGCAATGTAGTACCAGTGGAGGGAGATCGAACTCTGATGTAAAAAGACGGACATACTAATGGAGGGAGATTAAACTTTGATGTAAAAAGACAGACATACCGATAAACGAACTCTAATGTAAAGAGACGGACATACCAATAACTGGAGATGGAACTCTAATGTAACGAGACAGGCACACTATTTTTGAAAACTGACCTAATTGATGTTTGCCGAACCACTTTAGTTAGGTCGAAAACAAAAAAAAAAAAAAAAAAAAAAAAAAAAAAAAAAAAACCACTCTAGTTAGTAGTACCAATGCAGATAGTAAAATTGATAAATAGGCAGCTGCAGCGTCCAAGTGTCATTATTAGAGGGGAACCAGCAGCATGTGAGCTGTCGAACGTATATTGAATCCACCCACCATCTAGGCTGATAGGCATCTACATCTGGACTGGACTGGACCGGATGGGATGGGAAGACTAGGAGATTTGATTAAAAAATTAAAATGATTAATTATGCGAATCCCAACAATAGATGAACCTTGGATTACGGGTGGCGCAACCTCAATAATTTTGCAACTAGAGCCATAAGGGAGGAAGACGTGGCAGACCTTTCATTAATTAATCATCTGTAGAAAAACCGGAGTTTCAGGTAAATTGAGTGGGAATTACGAGGAAGACACTGAGAAAAATACATACACGTGCATGATCAGTAAAGGTCCATATCGACAACGCAATTGCAAATTTTTTAATTTCGTGTTGTAAAATTTGGGTTGCCTCGACAAATGGACAGTCAACGGTTTGCCATGTGGTTCTACTTTTTGGACTGTGATAAGTCGAGTTGGGTATCTCCTTGTTTAGGCTTGGTGGGTGTAGGTACCACCACTTTTTCTCTGTTTTCGTTTTCTTATTTACTTCACATAAAATAAAATTCAACGCATGTTGCAATTTTTTTCAAAAAAAAATATAATGATAAATTTCAGTGATAATATATCGATCACGGAAAGAAAACAATATATTTGCAATATATTTTTGTTAGACTGCGCTGGTCGTATAAAGCATAAACTCAGCAAGGAGCTCAATCGTGTGTCTTGTCCATGGATGGTTTTGCTTTTCGTACAAGGTAAATAAAAGTTAAGCATAAAAAATTTCCAATCGTTTGCACAAATGAATGGTCATCCCTTACGTATCAAGTGGGTCTTGTTGCGTTGCGTGGGAGACCAATTATGTCTTTGATGTGCGAGTTGTTGACATATACATATATGTTTTTTCTTTTTCTTTTTTAAGAAGCACATAAGTCCAACTTATTGTGTAGTAGCACCGCCCCACGCACGGTCTCTTCCCATCTCATATATATAAATACATTTAAAGATGGAAATGAAAATGAAAGTCAAATATACGACAAGTTATTGAACATTAATTCGTCTAACGCTTTGTTTGGTTTGAATTGATTTTTCACTATATTGAACTCATAAGGCCGCCCATGTACCTGAGCACTGCTTATTCTACAAGCTAGGTCATGTGAAGTTTTCTTCAGTTTGGAATATGAAAAAGCATCTTTTCTTTTCTCTAAGGGCGCCCATGTACTTGTACTTGTTCCATGGTCCACGCCTTTGATTCATTCTAGTATAATATAACAAGTCATGTGAAGTTTTCTGTTTGGTTTTCGAATTCATTTAAATAAAATTGGCTACTTGGATCCATCTAACTCTAAATTAAAATTAACATGTGCTTTGATTCATGCTTTCTCTGACTTGGCTTCTTTTAATCAAATACAAATCATATATAACAGCAAAGTAAAGAATGAACTTTCGGTTGACCCAAAATGAAAAAAGGGGAGAGAGAACAAACGGCACTACTGATTGATTATTTCAGTTGGGTGACTGGGCCACTATGACCGGGTCCATTGAATGCATAAACTTTGAAAATGGGCTCACACGTGTTAGCACGTGATGTGAATTGGGTTGGGTTACCCGACCAAATACAAATGATATGTAGCTCTGCAGATCAATCCGTACGCTGGAGCTCCAGATTTCTATGTGGCCCGTCCGTGATTAACTCTGATAAGTAATGCTACTGTCCTTATCATGTGGTGCTGCTGATCTCGGGGACCACTAACACTGTTTACTCTATTTGCACTTGCAACTTGGGACTCTACCGTCCCATTTGGCTATCTTCTCCCATCCCATGTGGCTGCATCTGCATCATGCCTGCTACCTACTATGCAATTAGGTAATTAGGTAATTAGGTAAATGTTTATTTGTCTCAAATCTATATTTTAATTATTTAGATTTTAATTTTTCGAGCGTCTATAAATTGTAAATTTTTTAAAATACAGTGATTTATTTGGCTATATTTTTTTTTTGGTGACCAAATTAAATATTCATGTAAAATTTATTGACAAAAAAAGTATTTAACCCATCAAAAGTGCGTGCATCATACATTCTATGTATTATTATTATTATTTTTCTGAAAAAATTAAATATTCATTACTGCAAGTAAGCAACTTAAAAAATAAAAAATGAAAACGTTGGGCGCCAGTGGTTTGGCCCTTTTAAAAAATTTAAAATCCAGGCCACAATATAATTAAATTAAGTAGCAATTTGATCTTATTATACAAGTACAAATATAATAATAGAAATTTAATTAATATCGTAAAAAGGGTGGACGTATCCTACACCTACCACGTGTTCCAACGACAGTCTCGTAGTCATATAACACCACCAATGCTTTTCCTACTGTGGTATTATAATTTATATATGCTGATTGAATTTAATTATAACTTGGTTTTTATTTTTAAAATAAACATCATTGTCAGACCGAAGCATCATTATTGCACACACATTCTTTTTTCTTTTTGTTGGAATGCACATCCATCCACCGTTAATTTAAAATGCTTACTCTGCAGCACTGAAGTCTGCAGATATCATATATGATATATATTTATGATTCTTCAGAGAGAGAGAGAGGGAGAGAGAGAGAGAGAGTTTATGCTTGCTAATTTGTTCGTTTCAGATAGATAATGGTTCTTGGCTGGGCAGGTGAATGACCAGGGAAATTAAGAGTCTGATCATCCGATGTATGTTTAACTAAATTGAAAAAACGATCCATCTTAATGTAACACGGTCACCACCAAGTGTAATTGGCTTTTAACTCCAGATGCCACCACCATAAACCTGGATCTGACTCTTCTACTTGTATTCTTAATACAAGGGTTATACCACGCTTACCAGCTCTTACCAGTGCTGTGCTGCCCATAGATATCATACAGATGGGAGGTAGGCGAAGGTCCCCCTTACTCCCTATTCTCTCTTAAAGCTTTATAAAGCTCTACGAGAAAGGGTTGGTTAAGAACTACTGATACAGGTGGAGGCTCACCCCCGTGACTTATGCTAGTGTAACTCTTAATTCGATCACAAGACCTTGGTCCTCAAGTGTAGTGTGAAAGTTCTTCACCACCAGGCCAACAAAAATTTAAGGATAAAACACGGCAACTTAACATGCATGAGAATATCTTTTGTTAACAAAACGACTTGAAAATTTCTTTCCAACTCCATTTTGCCGTCCCTGAATTTCATTATAGGCAGGCACCGACTGTTCTGACCTTTTCTTTGGTCTCGGAGAGATTAATAATTCATAGCAGCAAAAGTAGCAGCCATTAGTGTACAAGGAGGAAGGGAAGGAGATGCAGCCTTCTACCTCCAAACCCAACTTTATATCATTCTGCATTAGTTTCTAACGATTTTTCCTTCCAAATTTTACAATTTAAACAGATTACAATGAAAATAAATTGGACCTCATGTTTCCCAATGGAGACCTTGACATGCTCATGATACAAACTGGGCCACGGCACCTCCCATATCTGCCAAATCCGACATCTTACCTCTGCATCAAGGACTGCAAGCAAAAAGAAAAAAACACGTTTGCAATCAAAACATGTACATGCATCCTTAAAGTTCAATCTAGTCAAATCGAAAATGTATTGAATGAAATGCATTAAGAATGGCCCAAAAAGGTGGCTAGCGAAAGAGCTTCGTTCAAATCCAAGTTGCATCAAGAAACATAATACAGATTCATGTTGTACCTGTCTCTCTGGCCAAGGTAAATGAAAGAGAAAAAGAATAAGGAACCTATACTTTTGAATTTCTAGCTGGAATAATTAGCTTATACTTGTGCGGCCAGATTCACCCAAGGAAACCACAAGAAATAATCTCACTGGTTGAAGCCTGCAGGTAATGATTTCTGTGATTGCAGCTATACACTATCTCTATCTGGGAAAGCAATATCTAACTGGAAGAAAATGACATATTAAAGCTAATATTTTCTCTAAACTCACAACATTATGCATGGAGAAAATCCTTATCCATGTTTAGGGAATGAATCTGAAGAACCCAATCAGATTGTAATCCCCCTTTTTTTTTTTTTTTTTTTTTTTTTTTTTTTTATTCAAAAATAAATTTCCTCTTTCGGACACCAATAGATGTTTCATGGCACAAAACTCTGCAAAGGAAAACATCTGCTTATCAGAGAAGTTTCATTATATTGGAATAATGTCCAATTAACTTCATAAATTCCAGGACAACCAGAGTGATGGTTCTATATAAACTGATGTAGGGGAAACATGGGTGATCCACCAGGTAATTTCTTTAAACTTTGTAAACACTAGACCAATCAAAACTATAGGAAACCAATTACAATAGCATAAAATTCCTAGGAACAAGATGAGAACTTTAATTTTTCTAAATATTTTTATCAAACCAAATGAATGGATCCAAAAGAACAAACATTAAGATCAAAGCATTTGCTTACATGTTATCCAAGAAATGTGAAAGGAAAAACGCACTTCTTATGCACATTATATTTTTCTTCGTTATACTCTCTAATAAATCTAACACTAGCATAGCGAATTCTCTTTTCCTTTTGCAAAATCAGAATATAAAAGCAAGCACAGAACTGGCATGTTGAGAGCTAAAGCCATAAGATACCAACATGATGTGACAGGAACAAACTAGTGTCAAATTCAAATTTAATCTGGAAATGTCTTAACATGCCATCTAAAACCTTCCTTCACAAAACACAATTTCATTTCTCTCGAGTAAAAAGCTGCATTTACCTTGATTCCTGTTAGAGAGTTCCCAGGCTTAGCTGTAGTTGTGCTCCCAAAAACTCCAGTCGAAGTATTTCCAGGCTTAGCTGTAGTCGTGCTCCCAAAGTTGAATTTTGACTTTTTATCTGCAGGTTTTAATATTTGGAAAGAGCACATTAATGTCTCATCCACGCTCATCATGGCACCGGCATTATCAAATTCCCCACAATAATTAGGTGCTGAAAATATTGTCACAAGTTGTCGGTTGGCAAATAACTCATACCCATCCTCAACAACCTGTCATCGGTAAAAGGAAAACATAACTAGTTATGTTTAAGCACTGAAATCAAGTAAAATTCCATATCCTCAATAGTCAGTGCAAGACTGTAAAGAAAGAAGCAACATTCGCCAATACCACTACACCAGCAGTGGAGGTCTGGGAGTGTCAGGGGCTTCATGCTTATACCAAAGAGATGTAAACTCTGAATTTTTTTTTAAAAAAAAAGAACAAAAAAATTAGAACTACACTAAACCCCCAATATCACCATATAAATTCTGATAGGAGAGGTGTTTGGCTCCCACAGGTATATTCCCTACAGTCCTGCAAGTGTATAGAGGATATGAACTGAAACCAAAAAAATTCAAGCATTAAAACCTGGTGAGCACGACAAACGAGATCCAAATCATGCTTCTGAAGAAACTCCGTTACTGTGTCAGGACCAAATGTATATGAAACTCCCCGGTCATTCCCTCCCCAACCTTGAACATCTTTACTGGGATCAGACCAGAGAAGATCACAGAGTAAACCTGCGTCTGGTACATCAGTTGGCCGCTGTAAATTTCTGATTTGATCTAAATTCTGCAGCTCAGGAGAAAGACCCCCATGCATGCAGAGGATCTTTTCATCAATCAGAGCTGCCACAGGTAGGCAGTTAAAACATTCTGTGAACGTCTTCCATAGCCTCACATTGAATCTTCTCTTACACTCATCATAGAATCCGTATATACGGTTTATAGAAGCACATTCATGGTTTCCCCTCAAGAGGAAAAAGTTCTCAGGATATTTTATTTTATATGCAAGGAGAAGACATATTGTTTCTAAACTTTGCTTTCCACGATCCACATAATCCCCTAGGAATAAGTAATTGGCATTAGGAGGTAATCCACCGTACTCAAAAAGCCTTAAAAGGTCAGAGTACTGACCATGTATGTCACCTGAAAACCATAAACAGTTCATTTTTAAGAATCCGTGACATTAATAAACCTTTGAAAATTAATGTCATTTATATGAAAACGTAGATAAGTAATTAAAATATCAAGATAAGCATCCGAATGGTTAACTTAGCAATCAGACTGAAATTTTCTAAATTATTTGGTCTCCCCAACTTTCCAACAAGAAATGATGAACTGAGCACAAAACATGCAGCTCCACAAAGAGATCATGTACCTGCCCTCTATTTTATACATTAAAATAGCATACCAGAGCTATTATTCAGATTAGGTTTTCATTGCTATTTAGAGAACCCATAAACCCTAAGTTCCCCCCGTATCAACATCTTATGCAACACCCTCTAATATCTGAAAGATTAAAAAGAATGACCTTTTATCTAAAAACATATCTATACTATACCATAAAGCAAACGCCTGCAGTCAAGCTCAATAGTTCCTCTGATAACTTCTATCTACAATATCGTTTGGCAAACAAGGTCATGCTCAAAATCAGTAACCAGATGACTTTAACCACACAAATGATAATCTTGATGTATGTCAAAGTACCAACATTAGCTTAATAATTTATTAACATAAATTCCTGAATGAAGCTCTTAATTATTTTGTATAGGCATCTAAATGAAGTAATTCTACCATGCCCAAAGACAGTAAACCTGATAACAAAATATAAGTAAGGTTAGCAATAACAGCACGATTTTCATGGGTTATTCCACAAGAACAAACATGGGGTTCAGAATAAACCAACTAAAAATGCCCCCATTTACAGCTATCCACAACCAACACAACCGAGTGAGCCCACATACGAACACAGAAAATGGGTTCACATGAAATATTTGAAATACTGATGACCGAGTCAAATCAAAGAAACGGGCTTTCCAATTAATCACAAATAATTCATAGTTCAATCAAGTGAAATAAACCCACTATCAAAGACTGAAATAAAACGGAGGAAAGAAAAGGATTTTGGCGAAGGAAAAATACCACAAATCTTGATGGGTGCTTCAAGCTCTAACAAATTAGGCTGTTGCAAGAAAATTTCTTTAGAGGCCAAACAAAGTTGCCGGATCTCGGACTCAGATAGCTGGACCTGCTTTCCGGGTCGGCCTCGGACTTCCAGAAGACGATTGATTATGTCGTCCAGAACTGATTGGTCCATTTCCTAGGTGCGGTCAATGACTGAAAAGTCAACGCTCTATTGAAAATAATTGAAAGACTGAAACATGAAGAGAGAAGAAGCAGAAGGAGAGGAAGAGAGGGAGTGAAAGAAAAGCATGAGCCTTGGTGGGGAATGGTGGGTTGGGTTCTGGCTGTCGTTTTCTGTAGAAAAGGGTGTCGTTTCAGCGTTGGAGAGTGGTGTTTGAGACTTTCTTCTGTTTTTGGGAGTCGGAAGGGAAAAAGTGGGAAATGCCTTTTGAGTTTGAGCAGAGGGAGGAGAACAAAAGGGAAAATGGGTGACCCTCATTTTTTTTTTTCTTTCTTTTCCTTGTCTACAGAAGAGTGAACAGTATAAGATTCTTTTTTTGTTTTTGTTTTCTTCTTTTTCTGCTACAAGATGAAAGTGTTCTTTTCAGTGTTGGGTGGGAATTGAGTACAAACTTTACTGTAAAGGAAATACCTTCCTTGAGTTGAGGGTTATTAGATATATTAACTTGGTTTTTTTTGGTTGACATTTGATTCAAACATAAAAGGCATATACATACTGTCCTTCTTAGGAAACTTCATCAGATTTGCTTGCCAAATACATCAAAACCAGATTTTTTTTAAAGTGATATTTTTTTGGGTCTAGCATATGTAATTATGATCGCAATCCCTTTGATAACTGGAAAAACCTCAAATCCTACTAAAAATGTAATGTGTCCCCCCTTCTAAATACTAGATAGGTTCCTATAAAAATGACAAAAAAAAAACAGAAGGGAGATAGGTTCCTATAAAAAGAAAAGAATACTATAGGTTAAAACCAAAAACGAGGCATACTTACAAAAACGACCCATACGAGTGTTTTTCCCACTGTCTTTTGTCTGCTGTCGCCTAAAAACATTAATTTACACATCTCACACAACATGGCCGCTGCTCCATCCTCCATGGTTGGAAGGAAAGCATCGGCGAGGAAGGGGGTTCTGAATTAATTTACACTTGCATGGTAGTATTCATTAGTATAGGAATCCAGCTTGGCCTTGGCAACTCCTCCTATAACCTATTATATCGTTTTGGGCCTTCTTATTGGTTTCCTTTATTTGGTAATAAAGCTTTTTTCTTTCTAAGCCCATTTTCTTATGGTTCAAAATTTCAAAGAGCGTTACTCAATATTCTATCTATATATATATATATAGAGCAAAATGTAGAGAATTGTAAAATATTAGGGCTAGTTAACTTTATGATACAACCTCAACATTAGTCAGTGCAATTAAGCTTTCTCTACAATAATAATATAACAATAATAACCCTAAATAAGTTCTCACTTGAAAGCATCAAGATAACTCCAAAATTCTCGAGATTCTTCACAAATGCAAATCCTCAAGATTCTTCCCCGCTTGGAAACTCACAGGATCCACCTTATGAACAATGCAATCTACCACGATCCTCCTGATTAGCTTTAATCCCAACGGTGAACCCATAACGGCAATGTTGTCTTCCTGATATTTACAGGCAAATTAAATTCATAATTATGGAGGTGGGATGGGAAGAGCAGACGAGAAAAATAGACGAAGAATAAAATACAATTGAACGATCAAAGTCACAACTAGGAACTGTAACACTTACACGAAAAAACACATTGCAGGCCGTCAGTCCTCCAAGTATCTACATCCCAATTATATTTATTTTCAAAGTTCAGACAAACGACAAACAGAAAGAATTAAACATGCACCTACCTAATCAAGTCACAGATTAGTATAGCATGATTTATAATAATACTTTTATGCACCTACATTTAAGGGATGCATGAGGAGTTTCACCCGCTCCGAGCATTGATCCTGCACACAATAAAAAAATAAAGAGAGGCTGAAAACTGAGCTTATATTTCCAGCATCAAAATCACAGATAGGTGTGAGCCATTGGGTGCTCCGGTCTGTTCATCTTCACATTAATTATTGTTTCACTAAACCCAGACCAACTCTGAACCTTTCTCACATCAAAGAAAAGCTCTAAACGAAAAAGAAAAGAAAACGGGGAAAGCAATATAAGCAATACCCACCCGCGTGATACCAAATTTAGAGCGAAGCCCATCACCTAGTAGCCCAATCTCGATGATGTCGCATTGTATATCAGTCAGTACTCTAATTGCCTGAAATCAAAACGATGGTGCAAGCAACCAATATAAATAGCATGCTATTGCCTTCAAAGAGATGAGAGTCGCATTGAAACTGCAAAAATAAATACCGTACTGCCTTAGCAGCTACCTCAAACCACAGTATAGCTCATAGGATGCAGATGAGAAAGAATAACAAAGGACTACCATTTGTACCTGATGTACAGGAATATCTGGGTCAGTAGTCCTGGATGTTTTGATTGTTATGTAACCAAAAACCTGACCATGATTAAAAGGTAGAACAAGTTAGTGTTTGCATCCAATCGTACATAATTTGAATTGACCACCGATCAATCAAGAATAGATTTCCCAAATATCAATATTTCATATTTACAAATTCAACATTTCTCAAAAGCAACCTGTTATCATGACATACCAAATTCAATCTGCATGAAATATGATACTCTTCTAAAGCAGATTTCACCATCGGCCAAGCTTCGTGCAAATATGTTCCTGCACGAAAAGATGCAACGGCTCATAGAGTCATAGGTAAGAAAGAATTCCTTCTTTTAAATAACTACACCAGAATTTCATACTAGGTTGCTTTCACCCATCACCCCATCTGAGTGGGCTAATTACACACAAAAACAAGTAGCTCACCCCATTTCAGAGAAAAAGAGTTTATCATGAGCATAAGTTCCAGCCCAAAATCCCACCCCAGGGACCAAACCATCCCCCACCTCATGATAATTTAGTAAATAATTTAATCAATACCATTTTTTATCTCGATTATACATAGTTTAATAAACAGTATAATTGAATTTTAAATTATTTTCAATTCAATTCTTCCTCAATTTAATTATGCTTAATTCTAATTACGAATTAATAAATATACCATAAAAAGAATATTGAACAGGTTAAAAACCAAAAGGATAAAAAAAAACAAAAAAACAAAACTATAGGTTAAAACCAAAAAATAAGCATACCTACGAAAACAAAACATGAAAAAAGAAGGCTTTCCTAATTATTGACTCATCAAAATCACTCCTGTAACTAATAAGTTTATCGGAGATTCTCGGAAACAATTAGCAGCGAGAGAATCAAACTGCCTGTCCCTTCTGAAGAATCAAAGAAGCAGAGATGAGAAGAGGGCATTCTTCTGGGAATTACAGAAACCCATGTTTGACTATGCACCAGCCATGGGCTTCGTTGCTGGTTTATGGTATCAAGCGCATCGAAGGCCGGACATGGGCCGCTCCTATTAGAGGTTTGAACCTTAAAACCTCTGAATTCAGTTCGAACTTTCAATACCCGTTTGGTTTTAGTCTCATCATCTTTGCCGTGGAAGTATTAAGCTTTGAGAATGTGGTCTATTTGCTAGCTGGGAAAGAGTGGAAAAGGAGAGGGTGAGAATATTGACTGTTAGAAATATTTTATATATTGGGAACTGAACAAGTAGAAAACTTTAAGTAAGCTGCTAATTTTTTAGTTTGTAAGCATTTGATTTTGAGCAAAAGATTGGATTTTTGGTTAACTCGCTGAATTGTCCGCTGAACGTCTAAACTACTTAGTGGGATCTCATTCTTCTCTTTTTATTCTTTAAAAGGAAAAAGTTTAATGTAGGATTATCAAGCATTACTGTTGTTAAATTGGTTTTTTGCTCTTCAATTATGATATATATATATATATATATTTTTGGGTACTCTTGTTATTATGATTATATTCATTGCCATTATAATTTTGAACTTTGAGATGAGCCTTTTTCTAAAGCCTTGAATTTGTATTTTGAAGGGCGCCTTTGGATTCACGCCGCTAGTAAGGTTCCTGATGAGGCTACAATCAAAGCAATGGAGGACTTTTACAGGGAAATTTATGCAGTGAATGGAATCACTGATCTTAAATTTCCAGAACATTATCCAGTTTCAAGACTTTTAGGTATTCCAAGTTTGGTACTTTTTGTGATGCACGTTCCTTGTGTGTGTGTGTGTGTCTGCACACAAATTTGGGGATGTTAAGATCAATCAGATAACTGGAAAGAAAGGATGAAAATACCCAAAGGCACCCTCACATGTCATGCTTATACCAACTGGATTTTGAGTCGGCTGGTTCAAGTTGTGTTGCTAAACATATTTGCATGTGAATCAATTATTAAGCTCAGGAATATGTAGCCTTTTGGAAACTTTTGCAGCTAAAGTTTGAAGTCTCTTTATTCTAAGATGTTTTACTGAGGCTGTTTCTTCCCTTTTTTTGAGAGGTGGGGGGATGGCAAAATACTTCCATAGTAAAACTTCTGTTCTGTATAGCTTTTATGACAGTTGTTTTAAACATTCTTTGTCGTGCTTTCCTAGGTGGGTTTCTCTTGTAGACATCATGTGCTTTTGGTTTATGACTCCACGTTTTGTTAATAATTCCATAATTCTAATATATAAAAATAGTGAAGTTTCTTTGGATATTAAGTTTCTCTTTCTTCGTCTATATCTCTCTCTCATGCACACAAATTTTGACATTCGGTTTCATCTTTGACATAGGGTGTGTTGAAGTGGTTGGATGTGTTAGACGTGAAGAACTAGCATGCTGGGAGATGGTACCGGAAGGGGTGGGCTACCTATTTACTTATGACCTCTTTATTTCATAATATGGCAAGGTGATGATTTCATGGGCTCCAAGACTGTGTTGATTAAGCTTTGACTGTTCATATGCAGGTGAGGCTAGAAGCACAAACTGATTTATGTTGGCTTTGCGAGCAGCCACAGGTGTGTATTTTCACACTGGTCCATTTCTGGCTACTCCTGTGATTTGAAGAAGTAACCATTTTATATAATAAAGCTTTTGTTTATCTGTTTAATTCAGAAATTGTTAATTCCGTTTGAGATGCGTGGGTACCAAGGTGTTTATAACTTGGAAAAGAAGGTGCATACTCTCTCTCTCTCTGTGAGTATATTTTGTAGTGGATCTAACTTATTTACCTGTCTCAGATATATGAAGCTGCTATTAGAGGTCTTACCCCGGTTGAAGGTCCCCTTCCAGTAAAATTTTTACTTCCAAATCCACAAGATCCATTTTCGTTGAAACCAGGGTCTATCTCTGCAAATGTCCCAGAAACTAGAACTTCTGAACTGGAGAGATCTTCAAGTCTCACAGCGGCCATAGCTGGTGCACGAGCAGCAGCTACACAGTTCTCCAAGAAAGTTCAAGATTTTGAAACAACTCCCCAAACCAATACAGCACAATCTGTAAGGACACTTCCATTAAAGAGTGAATCTTTTGAAGAGGATACAACGCCATCTGCTAACTTAAGTGAGACCTCTAATAAGGGGGCATTAACATCAAATAACAAGGAGAAAATAAGTCCCATTAAGTATGAGGGAATCACCAGCCTCAGTCAACCTTCTTCTGGAGGTTTGAGACCTCATCCTGGTGCACCTTCTAAGGTATGCAGTTTCTTCTCTCGGCTTTGTAGTATACCTGAAACAAGTGTATGCACACTTTGATTCCATTATAAGAATTGTGTGTGAAGTCAATGTAGTTTAATATTTTATAAGGTCTAGTTTCATTTTAATTTGATTTTTATGCATGACTTTGACATGTAATACAAGCTGAAATATGACAATTTTGGCACATAAGTTTGTGTGCTATTTCGCTGCAGTACTGCATCAGTTGTGCCCTTTGATGCTCTACTTCAAGCTGATTTTGAGTCTATACTTGTAACTTAATTCCTTCGTCACCTTCCTTATGAACATATTTTCTTATTGCATAATTCCACTGCTTGCAGTACAATAATGTCCTTTGTTCTAGTTCATTCTGTTCCCCTGTTTCGGGAATTAAAAAATCAGATTTGAATTATTTTATTTGTGAAATCTGGTTTTGTATTTTGTGTAGCTGTATGTAGTATTTGATTTGAGGTTGGGTCATTTTAACCAAAAGGCATTACAAGGCTGCATAGAATATATCTGGTTGTGGAGTGAAGACAGAACTATAATAGAATTCTTACTTTGGTTTGTAAAACAATGCATCGGTAGGGCAGCATTTCACCTAGAGGGGAGCACATGAAGCGGAAGAGAGACCGTCCGAATGAGTAATGCAAACATTGGTGAGGATCCAATGCCCGAAAGCCCTCTTGGTTGAAAACAAAAGGCTCCTCAAAGTGGAAAATAGGCCTTTTCATCTGATATTTGTCAGCTGTGGGTTTATTAAGCATAGGCTAGCTCTAGTCACCCAATTTGGATCCTATTTGATGTAACCTAATATTGATGGTCAGGATGCAATAATAAACCTGGTAATAAGTGGCGCTTGTGATGCCATCTTCTTTCAATTGTTTTATTGTGCATATGTTGAAACTCTAGATGTACTACTGTCAATTAGTGGAGTGTAATAGTAGCCATTTGTGAATTACCTGACCTGAAGACTTTTGTCAATGAATTTTAGATTTTTGCTGCGGCGGTGAGAGCACTGAAGCCGTCATGAGATTCATATATTCTTGGAAGGTGGAACTCTGTTGCAAAATATGACCCTTTCGTTTGCAGCACCAAGCTGTTATGTCAAATTGGAATGCTTTTCTACATGGCCTGCATTTTATTGTATATGCAATATGTATACTGGGAGTGTTTGGGTAGATCTTGATGTTAGTTTAGGGGGATGGATGAGGTAGGTAACTGCATGATTGTCAAATTTGAAGTAAATGCAATATGTTCTTTTTTCTTCTTCTTGTGTTTGTGTTTTTCAAGTATTATTTATATCTAGTGGAGTGGGTGGATATTAATTGAATTGAAGTGTGTATCTTCTGACGGACACGAGTTCACCACATGATACTTGTTTTATTTATATAAATCGAGCAGGAGCAAGCAGCAAACCACATAGTCCATAGATACATATAAAGTAGATGATACATACTCCATTTGCAACAGAGCTCCATCCAAATGGGTGTTAGTGTTTCATATTTGTTGTTGGTGGTGGTGAGTTTATTAGTGTTGTTGATTAATGCGGGAGTGGGACTCCCAGTAGCAGGATCAGGTTTTAAAGAGAGGGTGAAGGCCTCTGATTCTGAAGCTGAAGCAGAAGCCGAAGCAACAGCAGCTTCTTCTATGATACCCAATCGCTTTCGATCTCCGCCGCCGCCACCTCTATATAGTCGTACTCATGGCCATTACGCCTTAATACCTCCTCCTCCTCCAGAGACGCCAATGTTGCCACCACTGCAGCCATCTCCGTCATCAAACTCATCAGCACCACCGGTGTCGCTGCCATTTCAGTCACCATCACTGCCATCACCACCACCACCGTCACCTCCGTCACCATTGGCATCTCCATCACTACCACTACAGCTGTCACCACCATCGTCATAGATATATAGAGGATAACTGAGCCACCTTGTATTCTTTCATCTTCCGCATATTATCAAACAGAATATCTTACTTGAGGTTCCTTAATTGAACAAAAACAAAAAACCATGTGTTTCCTCTCTCAACTCAACTCTCAAACACTCAAATGTCAAACAAATTCAATGATGGTTGTAATTAGCTTTGCTTAGCTTCAGCCCTCACTCAAATTTTGGGTGAAAAATGGTTTGTCCGCAGCATTGATTGATTATGATGTGGATGTGAGTGAGGCATATCATCTTTATTAATGCTTGCTATTCATCCTCATTCACTCTCCTCTCCTCTGGATCACTTCTTGTTACATATCATTAATTGGCTTAAATATTTCATCCACCCTAGTACCCTCCTTTTGCTATCGACATTAATATTGATATATATTGGAATAATGAGACAATAATGTGGGCAATATCGACGTCATATGAAGGTGATATTGATATTGTTATTGTTATTGTATGCATACGTGATACAATGCAATCTAATAAACACACGGATGATATTAATTAAGCACATAATTAATAGATTATCCGATGAAATGGAACTCTCCTTTCCTTTATTTAAGCAAGGAAAGGAAGTGTTGTTTCTATTTATTATTATCTGTACAATTTGAATGAAAGCAGACGCATTTACCAAATTCACACTCTCCCAGGACCGCCTCTTCCTTGTGCCTGCAGGTCTCGTCACAGTTTGGTGCCCATCTGCTCCTTCCACGCCATGTCCTGCTTAATGACTTACACAAGCCTCATTCGCTATTTCCTACAGTATATGTATATATGCCATTGCCAATATAATTAATAGATGGACTCGAAACTAAGATGCCAAACTGGGGAGGCCGCGCGGCTATCGCCGTTGTTTTTATAAATTTTTTTTTAAGAATAAATAGTATAGCCGCGCGGCTATACGGGGGGTCCTTTTTTAATTTTTTAATAATCAATAGTATAGCTGTTCGTATTTTTTTTTAAGAGAAAAAATTATTTTTCCCCTATTTTTGTTTATAGATAAGAGTAGTTTATCGCATTATCCATTAATATTAGGCCATTGCCGGAGTCTCTATTGTCCCATTTTGATTTTTAACTTTTCCATTGGTATTATCCATTTACAGAATTTAGTATTTTCCCGTTTAATAGTCGTATTAAACACGTATGTATGTATTTTTCAACAATACTTCCATTTTTTGTACACGTGTTAAAGGCTCGGTAAAATACAAGTTCTTTTATAAAGCAAACATACAATACATGTATTGTACACGTACATACATATTTTTCATATTTAATACAAGTGTTTTTTTACAAAGTTTTCAATAATACATACAAAATTTAAGTATTATACACATAATTTTCACATATTATTGAATAAAAATAATATATATTAAAATTTTAAAATAAATTATTATAAAATATTATATAGTGTCTGAACTTTTCAGTTGTAACTTGCGAAAATTATAATATTTTAATAAATAATACATTCACGCGGCTATACTTGTGTTTTTTTCTTTATTTTTTATAAATCGTATAGCCGCACGGCTATACGTTTGAAATATACTATATTCAAGGAGTATATAGCCAGACGACTTACAATTATTTTTTTTTGGTATCGCAGCGCGGCTATATGATTTTTTTTTAAAGTGTAATATAGCTGCTCGGCTATACTATTGTTTTACTTTTATTTTTAAGTATAGCCGGCCGGCTATACTTATTAAATTTATCCAATATATATTTAAATATATATGTATACTAAGTCTCTTTCCCTCTCCCGCTTTATTCCCTTCTCTCTTCGCTCTCTCCTAAATGAAGGACAATGACGACAACTCCTCCCTCTACCAACTCCACCAATTCCAGTTCAAGATCACTCACTTAGGATTGGATTGGATTGGATTGGATAAGTCGCTAAATCTAAGGTATTTTGAAGAAGGAAATGAAGGTAGATGTGAATGATTTTCGATTTTTGGGGGATTAAGAGGGATTAATTATAAAGTGTTGCTATTCTACAATTTTGTGGGGATTAGATGGAATAAGTTTTCTTCATGAGTAATCCATCTTCTACCTTCAACTTGGTCTTTTTATTTTTTTATTTTTTTCCTTAAACATATGCTTTAAATATAAGGAATTATCCAATCCAATCCAATACTAGTTATCAAACGAGACCTAACAGCTAGTTCAAGCCTCAACTAATTAAATATGTAGTTTGGTTGGACATTATTTTTTTCCACCATTCAAATTTTCTTGTCGACTTCTAGAATCAAATTGAAAAATTATTACGTTTTATAAATTACTCTTAGTATTACTTAATGAGTAAAGCCACAACAATCCTTTAAACTAGTCTATTATTTTTACGAAACAATCTTATTTTTCATCATATAGAACTAATTTCATCTCATGAAAGGCCAAATCATGTTAGAATCGAGTTATTTTTGAAGTCAGGAAAAAAAAATTTAAAATTTTTATAGCCGCACGGCTGTACTATTTGTATTTTTATTTTCCAGTATATGGCATAGCCGTTCGGCTATACAATTTTTATTTTTATTTTACGTATAGCCGATCGGCTATACTGAAAAATAAAAGTTAATAATCTCTACTCGGCTATACTTAAAAATAAAAGTTAAAATACTCTTCACTCATAATCGGCACAGGGTCATTTGACCAGGTACCTTAAGTGCAGGAACAAGTTTTGCAGGTTCAATAAGTGCAATTTTACCCAGACATTCAGCTGCTACATTGCGAACACCCTCTTCCTCGCTTTCACAGTGACTAAAAAGTAAATTAAGTATCTTCTCAACACTCGAATCCTGAAACTCTGCTTTATCTATAGACTACCTTACTATGACCTGAAAAATGGTTGAAAATAAACTTCAACCCAACAGAAAAAACATTTCAGTATACAAAATCAAGCTCTTAAAGTTCAGAAGAATGCACCTCCTTCAGAGAATGATGCAAGAGATACTGTTTTTTCTGTTGATTGTCAATCTGGTCCAAAATGAAATGCAAATACTTGAGCAAGTTACCAACAGCAATATTGCCAACAGCGTAGGAGGCTGCAGATTTGATGTCTTCAAAAGGAGATTGAAAGGACTCAATGACAATATTCTCTATATGGTCATGGGAGCTTAGATCTTTCCTCCTTCCAATCTCCCCGAGACACAGCAATGCAAGGTGCTGCTTAGCCTATATCATATGAAGAAAGCAATTATACTGGGCTCAAATAAAAGTTATATAACAATTAAAAACAATAAATCAACTAGATTCAATCAATCTACCCCAAATTTATAACGAGAGTTTGCCTACCACCAAATTGCCTTCATTTTTTAAGATTACCAAATAATAATAAATCGTGAAAAGTTAATTAGTCTATCCCTATTTGCTTACAAAAACCAAAACACTGTCATCTGAAGATAACCCTAACTGAGTTGTTTTCTTTGGGCCGGGGGACTTACTGAATTTGTACTGCTGTCATCTTTGAGAATTTCAGTTAGCATGTTCAAGGTAGATGAACATTGCTGATCACCAGCAGCAAGGCAAAGGACAGCCACACATTGAGCTATTGAGTACAAAGCTTGTTTTGCAACCCCACCTGACTGGGGAGATGGTTTGGCACTTGATAGCAGAGAGTCTAGTAAGGTATCAAAACTTGTGTTTGCGGAATACACCAAGGAAGCAAAAAAGTTTTGCACAGATCCAACAAAGAATGTTCTCAAGCAAAGTTTCTAGATCAAGACAACCAGTTAGATAGATAAAATTACCAAAAGGGCTTGCCCCGGAAGCAATGAGCTCTTAATTAACGTTAGTGCTTGCGGAAGAAGTTTGTTTCTAACAGCCAAACCACCAACCGGGCTTGACCTGTCTGCCATCAAGGTGCAGCAGAGTTCCAGGGCGAGGGCCGTCATATGCAAGTCCGAATCACTGGAAATGGATATTAGATAGACACGGGGGTTCAGAAACTAGACCACCCAGCCACCAATCACACAAAAATTTGAAAAGAAGAAAATAAAATTGGTGGAAGTAGCAAGAGAAACCTTATCAGTGTGGCAAGTTGTACAATAATAACTTCATAAGCAGATGAGCCAATTTTATCTCCGTAAGCAACAATTAGGGAATTCCGGGTCCCCAATGTTGCCCGTCTTAGAGGCCGATTAGTCTGATTTCCACAAAGGCAAAGAATATTAGGATTAATTTCATAGGTCTTTGAGTGATTCTAAGAAAAAATTTCATAAAACATTTTGTAAAAAAGATTATGAATTCAACAACGAAATTAAGTAAATTCCCATACCTTCCTTAAGAATGCAGTCAACTCTGCAATCACATGCTCCAACACACATGATAGATCTATTTTCAGTGGAGAAGCAGCAATGACAGCAAATGCCTGGATGCAAAACACTTTAAGGTCTTAGAAACTTAACACATGTACATAATAATACAGAGTACTCCCAAATGTATGCATATCTTCAGAAAAGAAAGGCCAAAAAATAGACATCAGCCGCCCGGCTATACTTATTTTGACATAATCGCTGGGCGAGTTCTCTTTAGTTTTTTTTTAATAAATTGTATACAATACTATATTTTTAATTTTTTTTAAAACTAGTATAGCCGGACGGCTGCACTTTTTTGGTTTTAATATTTTTTAATAAACAGTATAACCGAGCGGCTGTACACTTTATATATATAGTGTGATCCTTTTTTTCTTTTATATTTTTTTCCCCAATTTTCGTTTATCAATAAAAGTAATTTAGAGCATTATCCATTACTATCAGGCTATTACCCTAAACCCGCTTGGCTATACTCGGTTCTTTTTTGAATTTTTATTTTTGGGTTTATATCAGGAATGAAAATGAAATTGAATAAAATATTTCATAATAACTGTAAAAACATAAAAAATAAACATAAACATAAAAGAGACAGAACGTCATGTAGTCCTTCAATAGGCGAGGAAGGAAGAAATATCAACATCTTTTATATTGCAAAAGTCTCATTGAAAGGTTTGCTTGCAAAGTTTCTTTTATATCAACATCTTTTGTTGTGAACATTTTCTCGTTGGAATATATAATGAATAATTTAATTAAAGAAAATGCAACAGGAAATAAACAGGACAGGAGTTCTTGGTCTTTTTCTTGCCGTCTAAATATTTTAATTGAAAAGCAGTGGGGATGTGGGTTTTGTTGTGTATAATCCAATCCATATATATATGAGGATGGGGTTTAGTCAATGATCAAAAAATATTAATTTTCCCTTCTGCTCATCACACAAGTAGAAGTAGGGATGGGGTTTTGTCTATAATCCATTCGTGTAGAGTTTGATTATGATTTATGATTTACAAAGCACAACAAAATCAACAGAAACAATCCATCCTATATCTTCATAACAATATTCAATGGGATGAAAAATAAATAAATAAAAACTTTTCTAGGCAGCAGTTGGGTCTCCTCTTGACTTGTATCCTTGGAAGGACCAAGTTGACATAGTCAATGGAATCTTATTCAACAATATATAATTTTGTATTTTCCTTAATTTCTGGATGCTAGATCTTCATATATATATATATATATATATATTAATTTTGTCTGTGTGGGAGAGAAACTCCAAAGAGTATAGTGAGCAAGTCATGACTATTGCACCTAATAAAGGTAAAAGTTTTTCATATTATATACATTGCCATTACCAGACAAAATGAGTACATATGGATTTTTATATATATACTTGAAGCACTACAAAGAAAGAACTCAAACCATAATTAAGTAGCTCAAGTGACTGTGTGTGAACTGTGAACTAACAATGGCTCCTTGTCGCTTGTTTTTGATAATATTGCCAATTGTTGGCTTACTGTGTATCTCACAAAATAGTCAAATGGCCAAAAGCTACGTTGCAATGCCACAAGCATTACATGATGATATCCATGATGCAGGTAATACGGTGCTTCAAGTTGCAAACGCAGCTGGTTTCTCTGTGAACTTAGCAGGCCGAAGAATTGGAAGTGCTCCACCTTCTCCCAGACGCGCTAATCCCGTCCATATGGTAGCCCCTGCCCCACCTGAAAAGCCCCGTGTTAGGCTTTTGCAGCGACCACCACCACCACCATGCAAGCCCTCAGCTTCTTCTATACCATGATTTTTATACAAGTATATGCAGTTTTTGGTGCTGTAGATGTAGAGATGAAACGAATAAGTCTTACACGCGAACTGATCAATTTTTGTCTAGCCAGTGGTCAATGTCTTTCATCTGTTTGCTTCATTTCAGTTCAGTGTAACTTTTTATCTTCAGAAGTTGTTAATTTGATGGTTCGAGTTTTGCCTTTGATATTCTTGAATCTCGCGTTGTGTGACAAACCATTTATTTTACCCAATGGGATTGGTTGATTGGGGGTCTGGAGGCAAAGAAGTCCAAAAGGAATAGAAAGCCCAACAGAAAAGGGCCAGAAACAAATAAGGTGGTAGGGAGCACAAACAGCCAAAAGCCAGAAAGAGACCAATATTTGCAAACCTCATTTAAAATTCACAAGCAAAAATAGGGACAAAAATTACAAAAAATTTGGAATTTGTGAAAAAATGGGTGCTTTGATACCAACAGTTGGGTTAATGTTGCCAATATGACTTTAATTTGTTATTTCCATAAAGTTAAAACTACATATGAAGAAATCATCATAAAAAAAGAAGAGGGTATCCCTAGCCTATATCTCAGAACTCAGATGCATGAATATAATGTTGTTGCTTTGCCCACTTGCTGCTTGCCGACAGTAACAAGGCTTTGGCCTCATATACAAATTACAAAGCGAGCACTGTCTGCCTCAACTGAGACTGATGCATGTCACTGTTTACGTTCATCCATCCAACACCATGACTAATGAGAAATGGTCCACACATATATGGCGTGCTATATTTAATGCTATATGTCTATATATCTCGCATCACATAGTTAATGGCTTTAGAAATATCGATCCCCAGAGATGCAGAAATTAACACTATTTCCTTTATTTTATGTATACTTCAGAGAGGATCCAATAAAGACCCTCATCCATCCAATCATGCATTCAATTTAGTGACTCGGTCAAGTTATTATCTTTTTTCTGTTTCGACCATATATTATTATTATTATTTTATTAAATATATCGATAGAAGATGTTTTGGCATAACTTGTATTCTCTTTTGACTCCTAAACAGGAGAAACAAGCTCATGCGTCTAGTTGACTGGAAAATGACTTTGACTTGCAGATTAGTAATCTTAAGTTTGAATTACTATGACATCATAAAATATGTGTGTGTGTGAGAAATCATTCTTTTTTTAGTTTAGACTATCGCTTGTCTAAAAAGGAGAAACAGAAAGAAGATGAAGAAGAATGCATAATGTGGGTCCCTGTAATATATGATCTCTTATATTATATTATTATTTGTGAGATAAATTCTTTAGGTAGCTGAAATTGGTTGTGACAGCAGCCTTTTCAAATGTAAACTCTAATAACTGTTTGAACGGTCATAATCAAGGTCCAACAGCACTCTTATCTTATCTTCTGCTTCTTCTTCTTCTTTTTTTTTCAACTACTTTAAATCTATTAATCAATTATTAATATAGACTAAAATAATTAGCAAAGAACTGTACACCAACTACTCTTTCTCTTGTCATAATTGACTAATTAAAAACTACTTTACTCATCAATTATCTTGAAATTTATACAAGGAAGAGACAAAGGTGAATAACATTTATCTAAGAAGAAATTAAGAATCACCTAGTGGCCGTCATCTCCACCTCCTCAATCCAACTTTACTTTCCCAAAAAAGAAAAAACAAGGCCCAAAAATTGCATGGTCGACACAAACGGACAATTTCTATGAGGACGGCTCGCAGCACTATTAGCTGTAGCTAGGTCATCGCAGATATGGTGAGAAGCTCCTCCAAATAGTCTGCGCCTAAATCCTCCAACACCAACTGATCTTCATCATCATTCTCGTCATTCTTTTGATGATCTGATAATTTCTTCTTTTTGTTCATTGACGACTTCCTCTTGAGGGAGTGCCTTCTCTTCAAGGCCAACACCGGAGACGAACCCTCTTCGAATCCATACTTCATCTCTACAAGTGACTGATAAACGACGTCGGCTGGAAAGTTGAGGACAGCCAAAGAACCCCGCATGGCAAATGCTGCTTGGTCATAAGCCAAGGCTGCCTCCTCCGCCGTATCAAATGTCCCCAACCAAACTCTGACACCGTTTCGAGTGGAGTCTCTTATCTCCGCCGCGAACTTTCCCCAGGGCCGCCGCCGAACCCCTCTGTAGGAAATCGCTTGATCCTCTTCGGCAGTGGAATTAGAAGAATTCACCTCTTCGTGAATATCTTTGTTGGAATGAGTTATTGACTCCGATGAGTTGTTGTGATCTCCTCCTGCGGGCGCCTCCGCAAGAACTCCATAGAGAAGCATTTCTTCGGAGTCGTTCTCATTGAAGGGTAGCTGGGGCAAGGGTTGACTGTGATGGTGGTGATCAACAAAGTTGAACATGTCCCGTGACCATGAGAGATGATGATGATGATCAGAAGAATAGTATTGATCTAGAGTAGAGTTGAAGGAAGAAGAAGAATCAAAGGAAAATTCAGAAATGGGGTTTTGGAAGAATGCAGAATCCATAGTTTGAATAATCTGGAAATGGAATTTTTGTTGTCGTAGGTGTCGTTTGAACAATTGGAATTGATAGATAGTAGTGAGTGAGTGGTGTGTGTGGTTTGGGGTGATGGAAAATATTTTGAACTTATATAGGGGAAGGAGGGAGGGAAGGCCCCACATGGGTTTGAAGAATAATAATAAGAAATAAAAATAATGGTGAAAAGGAAAGAAAGAACGTTGAATTTGACGGGGAGCGAGGGCCAAGTATCCACGTGGGTCAAAGACACACATGGCGGCCATCTCAGGTAAGAATTCAATTTTTTTACATGTTGCTTTTGGTATAGTGAGAATTCAATATTATTTTATGACATCAGCTTGATGATTTCATTGTCCGCTGCGCTTATTATTATTATTATTATTGTTATTACGAGGAGGAGGGTTGAGTTGAGTTGAGGGTTTTCGTGGCCCTCCTTCTCCACTTGCAAGTTGCAAGTTGCAAGTTTCTACACCACCCACCCCAACCCCAAGTTTATGCAAGTTTATTAGTTTCACTGTCGGATTGCTCACGATTTTTGTTGTGTCGTCCTTGCCACGCTCACATACACGGTACGCCCATCTCCATCGATCGGCGGCCTAACTTAAATTAAACTAATTTTAAGTCGTATTAATTTACCAAGTCATCATGTGTTTACAGTAATTTGCTCGAAATGCATTTAATGTATGTTTGAAATATCAAGTTTAGACAACGTCATCGCATAGCATGGCAAGTGTCCACGTTGGAGAAAATAGGGTTGTTCTCGACTGCAGTCCGTTTCAAACCAAACCTTCTTTGTTCATGGGAATATATATCTCTTAGCTCCAAAGCATTTTTAATCCCACATATAAAATAACAAATAAAAAATAAAAACCAAAAAGCCATCCCTATGACGGAGTTAGTAGCTTGTTTTTTTAGGGCAAGTAATGTAGTTTCCAGGTATTATAGTTTTATATTTCAACTGATATTGCAGTATGTGTTTAAGAGTTATTGGTTTTTTCATAGAGGAGTTCACGGTCACTGTATGCCTATATGTGGCTCCGTACCTGCTGCCTCTGGAGATATATTTTATTTAACAGTCAATGCGTATGCATATATAATAATAATGCACGAGTGTCACATCTTTTTGTGGACGGTAATGGAAGTAGTCCAAAATTCCTAATTCCTTTACCAAAATCATACATTCAGTCCAGTCAAAGTTCGTGCATGCTACATATCCTTTTCAGAGGCTGTTTATTTTAATATTTTTATTAACACAAGTGATAAGTAATTGTGGAGTCTGGAAATTAGATGACCTAGACAAATGGAAGAGGTTTGCTTTGCATTGCATTATGTCTCAATCGATCCCCCAGCAGCAACTTCAACTCTGCAAGCTCCATGGCCCCGTCTATTTTGGACCACCAGCCAATAACCATTTTAATACTCATCATCTGTCCGTATCCAATTCAACATGTTCCGATATATATACTTACAAAACATTAATTCCAATAATTTATTATATGTATCGCAATCGTATTTATTTAGTTTTATTATTCCCTCCAAACGGGAAATATTAGGAAAAAGAGAAAATAGCATATATATATATATATATAAATTCTCATAAGCGGACGTATTGATGTAATTATCGTGCAAATGTCATGTATTTCGTTTTTCCCTATTTATAATGACATCTGCATAATAATAACGTGCGAATATCTGAATGAAAGAATAACTATATATGTTATTCCAGTTTTATGTATATTGGTATATGGAAAGTGCATGAACCTGTATAAATCAAAATCGTTCAAGTTGGTACCTTTGTGTCGTTCGCATTATTGGTTGTTCATTTTTAGTGACAAGTTCTTTATTTTCGTGGTGAAGACAAGACCCCAGTTTCCCAGTGCATCATTAAGATTAACAAGGCAAATGGATGGATGGATGAATGGTCAATTTATTCATATAATTGTTTTCCTTCAACGGACGACCAAATAAAAGTCCCATCTATATCATTAGCTCAAATCTTTGGTACATTTCCCTCGTGGGCATATAGGCTATAGCCTAGCCATATCTAGAACATCACATAATATAAAATTAGTCATTATTATAAAATAAAACTCACATAATGCTGATTTGAATTCTCAAAAAATGTTAGAGAAGAACGCAAAAGGTGTTCGATGCATGCATTTTCCTTTCGATCGCGAGCTTTTTGCTGTTTCACCTATAAGATTTAAGTTATGTTTTTTAAAAAAAATAAAGTAAATATATTCTGGTTAGCTTCCATTAATAATGATTAATAATGGGTAATGTAACACAGCCTTTGACCAGGCTTTATAAACCAATGGACGGACAGTGAGTGAGTCAGTGAGTCAAGTTGCTTTATTATTGATTAGCCCTCGTGCATGTGGATGTGGTTGCGTTTTTATACATCACTCTCGCTCTCGCTCCAAAGAGTCTCTTGTAGGTGCTCTAATCAGACATGAAATCTCATTGAAAAACAATAAATAAATTAATTAATAACTGGTTTATTGTTAATTCAAGTTGCCTGTTGAATTGGTAAGGCTACAGCCAAGAAAAAACGTCATGAAATAGAGCATGTGGTACATTGTATGAAGCCAAGCGCCAATCAAGTGTCATTTTCAATAATAAAAAAGAAGAAGATTGAACAAGTAATACCAGAAAGACAAGAAAAAAAGTCCATTAATCTATACGTAAATCAATGTTTCACTTATGATGTCCATGGTTTGAATCTTATTTGACTCATGAATTACGACAAACAAAGTCACTAACTCGTATATTAATGGCGGTGTGTTTCAAAAGCTGGTCAGGCTAATATATTATATAATCACTCTCGCTGCCTTTCAGCTTTGTTATTATGATTGTGTGTGAACGGGCTTGATGATGGTATGTGACTGCATCCTTCAAGGGTGGTCGCTGGTCAATCAGAACTTCCAGAAGCATTTGACAAATTCAAACTCTCTCTCTCACATGAATATTCGGTCAAAAGTTTCACAGCGGTGACGTAACTCATTTGGTTGCTGCCTATATTCACCCCAAAACAATGGAAGCGCAGTCATTAGTGCTCCAAACAGGAAAAATCCACACTCGCGACTCAGCAAAAATAATAATAAAGAAAGGGTTCATGAATGGGCTGATTTCTTCAAAACATATGCGCACCCAGCAGTCTTTTCAAATTGGGCTGCATTCTATTTAGGGTTTGACAAGTTATATTTGGTTTTGGGTTTTTTTAGCTGGGCACTTTCATTTGGGCTGATGAAGTTGATATGGGCTATAGCCAACAAGATGCTAGGAACAAGCTAACTGGTAAAGCCCATTGCTTTCTTTCTTTGCTAAACATAATCTCAGCTGAATTGAACTGACTTTGTTTTTGCTCCATAACTGAAGAAGCATCATCATCAGCAGATAAGGGGCAAAGCTCCTTCTTCCCTCCCTGCCTCTCACTCCAAATTGGCAATTTCAAAAAACCTACCATGCTTTCTGTAACAGCAAACACTCTCAAACCCTTCTCTTCTTTCAACCCCAACACCAACACCAACACCAACACCAATCTCTTATTATTCTCCACTTCCTTCCTCAACCCACGCCCACCACCCCTCCTCTATCCTAAACCTTCTTCTCTAAAGCCCATCTCTGCCACTCTAACTCCCTCCTCAAGCTCCCAACAGCAGCAAGTGTACCAGCCATTCCGCCCACCCCCATCTCCAGTCCCCGCCAAGTTCCGCTCTCTAGACGCCAATGGCCGCATCGAAATCCTCTCAAATCGCCTCGGCCTCTGGTACGAATTCGCCCCTCTAATCCCGTCCTTACTCCAAGAAGGCTTCACGCCTCCCACCATCGAAGAGGCTACTGGGATTTCCGGTGTCGAGCAGAACCGCCTGGTGGTTGCGGCTCAGGTAAGAGACTCTTTAGTCCAATCCAAGACTGACCCACAAATTCTTGCGGAATTTGACACCGGGGGTTCCGAGTTGTTGTATGAAATTCGGCTCCTGAGTGTCCAGCAGCGTGCAGCTGCAGCCCGTTACATAATTGAGAACAAGCTTGATGCTAAGGGCTCCCAGGACCTGGCCCGTTCTATGAAGGACTTTCCTCGCAGGAGAGGAGAGAAAGGGTGGGAGAGCTTTGATTATGCTCACCCTGGAGATTGTCTAGGCTTTATGTATTATAGGCAGGCTAGGGAGCACAAGAACCCCTCTGAACCCAGAACTGCTGCTTTAGAGCAGGCTCTGAAAGTTGCATGGACTGATAAGGCCAAAAAAATAATTTTGACAGATTTGGAGGGGGCGATTGATGAGAAAGAAGGGAGAGAAGGGGATGTTATAGATGCGGTTCGCGTTCCAGTTGTGAGATTGAAGTTTGGGGAGGTGGCAGAGTCCAGTAAAGTTGTGATTTTTCCGGTTTGTAGGGCAGAGGAGAAGGATAAGGAGGTATTGGAGGCACCATGGGAATGTAATAGTGAGGGAGAGTTTGGTGTGGTGGTGGCAGAGAAGGGGTGGCAGAGGTGGGTGGTGTTGCCGGGATGGGAGCCGGTGGTAGGTTTAGGAAAGGGGGCAGTGGTGGTGTCGTTTAGTGACGCGAGGGTTTTGCCTTGGAAGGTGAATAAGTGGTACAAGGAGGAGCCTATTCTGGTGGTGGCTGATAGGAGCAAGAAGGAGGTGGCAGCTGATGATGGGTTTTATTTGGCAGCAGTTGAGGGTGGGGGTTTGGGGTTTAAGGTTGTGAGGGGATCCGCTTTGAAGGAAACTGGTGTGAAGGAGAGTTTAGGGACTGTGGTGATGATAGTGAGGCCACCAAGAGATGACACAGACGATCAATTGAGCGAAGAGGATTGGGAGTAAAAGTAGAAGAGTATGGTCATTGTATTGTATATCACTCTTTGTTACGATTGAGATTTATACAACTCATATAAAAAATTTCAGTAATGTTGGAAACTTGAGGTGGGGTTTTGTTAGATGCCCTCTACAAGGGGTTTTTACCTATCCTTTCTTCCCTTGGCCTTGTGGCTCTTGTGTAATAGGCATGTTGTTGTAATTTTCAGATTTATTCTTTCACTGATAAAACGATCTATGATTTAACTAGACATGTTATCTTTCTAATTTGTGCACATGAAGTGTGAATGTTACTACATGATGCACTTGAAATAAAAGTTCTATTTCCCCACACATTGATGATGAAGTTCCTTGATTTGTACAAGCACTCTTTGTTTCTGCACATTTTTCTTCAAATTAAATGATACCATGGATATTTGAAGTAATTAAAGCTGCTATAAGATATCCTCATTTTATTATACTTTCTGGAAGACGAGAAGAGAACCACCCATTACAAGTTTCGAAACAAAAGTCTACACACAAAGTCTACTTAGCAGGCTTGGAAGAACACTCTCAACTCGGAAACCAGCTATATTCTACAAGTCCTTATATGGCCGAACTTATTTAATAGATACTAGGCAAGAACGTTTAAAACGGTACTGCACGGTATATATAGTTTAAAGTTTTCTTCTCAGACGATAGTTTTATCAGTGAGAGTGACCAACTAGTCGCCATTTTTTTTTCATCTGACAGCTTTTTGGCAAACCTGCACCATTTACAAAACAAACAGATGAACTGTTTCATTCACTAAACAAAGAAGCAACTTATTGTGAACCTAAACATTGAGGATGTCAGTATAGTATGGACAAGATCATATCAGCTTGTTCTTACTGTGCAAGCCCGTCTTTGTATTTGAATGTGTTGTCTATCGGTTCATACAAGCCGTTCTCCAGGTTCAATGCAGAAACAGGTTTTTCATGGAGTTGATTCCCAATCTTCTCAAGGTGCTCAAGATTTTCTCTACGTGAGTTGTCCAAAGCAGCTTCGCTGTATTTCAAGCTATCATCCTGCAGAGTAATCAGCAAGTATCTCTGGCTTATAAGCTACTTGGTCGTTGCTTTGGTGGTTTGAACTGACTTACTCATATGAATGTCGCAAAAGAATAAAAAAATAAATAAAAAAGAAGAAGTTAATATATACCTGGATCCCGAGATAGTTGTCACTGTAGCCAGAGACATTGAAGAAAGCAGACATGTATATGTCAACCGTGTCTTCTGTTGCGGTTGTCTAAACATCAAGTAAAGGGGTGGTATAGTCTGGGTCTGGGCCCATAAACCATTGAAAGATTCCCCTCGAATTATGATCTGCAACCTGAAGCTTCTCATCCCTCCTTGCAGATCCAGTTCCGAGAGACAGAACAAGGAGCTTACTGCTATCAATGTTCTTCAAGCAATGTGCCACATTTTTTATTTTGAGACATCTCCCTAGCAGCCTCAATGATTGCCAGCAAAGTCTGCAAAAATGGATATTCCATTGATTTGTTATGAGTATGAACCAGTTTTGTCAAATCAATTAGTTAAACTCTACGAGTGTACAGGATTGTTGGCTGCAACACCACCGTCGATGAGGTTAAATTTTCTTGGGACTCCATTGGATGGTTTATGCTCAAAATAGCAAGGAGGGAAATAGTATGGTGCTGCTGATGTGGCAATGGAGACATCTGCTAGCCGAACATCATCCTTTGATGGATCGTGTTTTGCCTGCATGAAGGACACAGAAATTTAATGAATGATTAACGAACTTAATTATATTATTAACTATAATGTACGTACCTTCAAGGTGGAGAAGATGACTGGTTGGAGAAACTTGATGTCATAAGAGGGAATGATGACGTTGGTTATAGTTTCATGAAGCCGTGCTTTTCCTATTACCTTCTTGATTATGTCATGCAGGGCAGTACCATTGTATTTGGGGCGCAATGCTTTCTCAACCCATTTCACAAAGGTCAGTGTTTCTAGCCATTCCGCCCATTTCTTTATTTTTTCAAACCAACCGGATATGCGGAAAAACCTTCATCAATTATGGGACTTATTGACATTCCAAAATAGTCATCATATGGTTGGTTTCCTAGGGAAGATATGAGGACCCTGTTCAAAATAAAATGTTTTGATTTCATTTGCTTCAAAGGTCTGTTTTCTCCATTTGGTGTGGTAAGCATAGCTGTAACAAGGCCTCCTGTGCTTGTCCCAGCAACGACATCAAGTAGTTGGCAACCCTTGCATCTTTTGCATCCAGTGTCTATTGAATTGGGTGGTAGTAAGAACATATTCAAGTTAGTTTCAACATTTATTTATTGATCCAAAAAAGAAGAAGAAAATAGCTAAGGGGAACACAGACATACTAAGTAAGTACTAACCTTGAGTTCAGATTCGAGAAAGGCGAGTATGGTGGCAGGGATGAGGCCTCTCACTCCTCCACCATCAATACTAAGGATAGTGGTAACTTTTCCATGATCTGAATTATTATTTGAAGTAATTGAAGAACAGGGAGCACAATTAGTTTTCTCATTTCAAGAAAAAAGAAAACATGAATCAATCATAAAGAAAGCAGTAAATCAAATGTAAGTAGGAAGTAGCTACAATATCTCTCACCCGCAGCAGCCGCCATTGTTTCTTGTCTGAAAAGGCTAGTGAGCAATTGGGAGTATATGATATCTGGGTTGGGTTGGGTATTCAATCTCCCCTTTATATATGCAATCTTATGACAATGTGACAAGACGACTGAGATGTTGCAATTGACAAACATCTACCTATATCTAGCTAATAATTCCATTGCTTTGCTTAAGTAAACAAAGTAGCGGCACCTTTTGGCGCTTGGTGCAATTTGATCAGAATGTACAAAAAGGAACTCAGTTTGTGTTCATAAACCATGTGATGTGTGCTAGAGATACACTTTCACGTTTCTCACCACCGTCATCACCATCTTCATGCTGTTTTCCTTTTTCCTTCATAAATTTGTTTGTGTTTTTTCGAAGCACATAGAACTAGCCTTGGGCAATCCCACTCTTCTCTTCTCACATTCGTAGCTTTTGGTAACTGGTTGCTGTATGTAATGCATCCAGTTGTGCCAGGAATTGAGCGGAAAAAAATAATTTCTTTAACACGTTATTTATTTGTCATGCCTCGCCAATCCCATTTCCATAAATAAGGGCCAGAAATTCCACACAAAGATATGCATAAAGAGGATCCAAACTAAATAAACATGTCATATTCAAGTTTTATTTGCTTTACAATAGCCTCCTAAACTGAACTAATAATATCAGCAAAGCTATGATGTCAACTGTTCAAACATCAATTCTCATCTTTTATCTGACCGCAATCTTCAATAACAACAGGTTGAGAAGTTGTCCCGCTATCTGAACCCACCTTCTCCATCTCTTTAACGACAGTATAGCCATCTACAACTTTTCCAAACACGACATGCTTTCCATCGAGCCAAGGGGTCTTGTCAGTGCAAATGAAGAACTGGGAACCATTAGTGTTTGGTCCAGCATTGGCCATGGATAAAATTCCAGGCCCTGTATGCTTCAACTTGAAGTTTTCATCTGCAAATTTCGTGCCATAAATCGACTCCCCTCCAGTCCCATTACCTCTTGTGAAATCTCCACCCTGACACATGAAATTCGGGATGATGCGATGAAATGTAGAGCCCTTAAAGTGCAGTGGCTTCCCTGCTGCTCCAATCCCCTTATCTCCAGTGCAAAGAGCCCGAAAATTTTCAGCAGTTTTCGGTGTCACATCAGAAAATAATTCCATTACAACTCGGCCCGCCTTCATCTTTCCAATCAATATGTCAAAGAAAACTTTCGGGTTCTTCATGTTTTCTTTTATGAGAGCCTGTATAAAATATAAAATATCAGAAAAACTCCACACTCTGCGGACACCAAACAAGCAGCTCCAGTCTCAACCACATTAAAACGAAATATATTTGATCATATCAATTAACATCAGAAACAACTCTGAAAGATTATACTTTTCACATATTTTACTTGATCCGATAACGCAATCTGGGCAGCTTTTTCCCAAATTCTCACATTTCGAATAATAAAAAAACTATATTCATATCAAATACACAAACTTTCAAGAGCAAAACAGGGAAACCAATAGAAATGAGACAAGTCCATCAAACAACACAAAAATTAATAACAACAGCAGGAGTTAGCAATGTCATCGTTCTTCCAAACAATCCTCGAGCAAAATATCAAGAGGATATTCGGAAAAGAAGAAAGATTTATAATTTTGCACAGATTTTGAGCGCATGGGCATTCATATAGCACCCATAAGCCTTCGATATGTGCTTTTCTCAATTTACTGTTTTTCTTCAGAAATATACTACTGGGATGCAATGGCATTACAGAGAGAACAATACGACGTAGTAACTTGAAGAGAGAAAAAATTAAGGGAGTTGGGACAGAGAAACTGCGTACCTGCAGATGAGATTTCACTTGGAGACGGAAGTGAAGATGAGATGAGTGTCTAGGGTTTTAGATTGTGTTTATATAGGCGCAAGGGGATGGGGTTTAGGGTTTTGGATTAAAATGGTAACTATTTTGCAAGACCATCCTTGTTTTCTGGGATATTCTCTAAATTGCCACATATTTCTTTTGTTATTAAAATTATACAAATTTATAAATAAACCCAATTATAGATATGTATTTATAAAAAAACTGAAGCACTATTTAAAAATAGAAACACACCCAAAATCAACAATTGTATATTTTTTGGGTGTATTTATAAATAGGTTTTGAGTGTGTGTAATGATGAATTTTGGATGTGTTTATAAAGTATTTTAGGTATTGAGTTTTTTTATAATTTCAACTCCTATTTTGGGTGTTTTAGTGAAACACCCTTAAAATTATGCACAAGAGGCGGAGTGACGGGCCTGTAGTTCAGATAAGCATGCAATTCCGCATTCTATGCTGCAAATGGACCAAATAATGGTCACCACCAAACCTCATCTCCTATCACCTTCCCTCCTTCCTCCCTCCAGATTCAAAATCAACCAAATCCCTAAAAAAAACCCAGACTCAGACCCATGTAACCAAACAACCACTTCTTTCACACCACATGAACACCCCAACCTTGAACAGACCCAGCAAATCCATGCCCACTTGATCAAAACCCAATTTGATCACACCATTCAAATTCCTCTTAGGCACCTCCAAACCCACTTGAGCCCTGCTGCCCGGTACAACTTCTTAATAACTTCTTACATTAAGAACGACTGCCCCAAAATTGCACTCAAATTATATGCTCAAATGCGTAGAATGGACACCCAAGTTGACAGTTTCACCATCCCCTCAGTCCTCAAAGCTTGCGGCCAATCCTCTTTGGCTGTTTTAGGAAAAGAGACGCACGGTTTTGCATTAAAGAATGGATTGGATAGTGATGTTTTCGTGAGCAATGCGTTGATCCAAATGTATAGTGAATGCGGGAACGTGGTATTTGCTCGCTTGTTGTTTGATCAAATGGCTGATAGAGATGTTGTTTCTTGGAGTACCATGATTAGGAGCTATGTTAGAAACAGATTGTTTCGTGAGGCATTGGAACTTATCAGGGAAATGCATTGTGTGCAAGTAAAGCCTAGTGAGATTTCCATGGTTAGCATGGTTAATCTCTTTGCAGACGTTGCAGATATAGAAATGGGGAAAGCGATGCACGCTTATGTTGTAAGGAATAGTACTAATGAGAAACTGGGAGTTTCCATATCTACTGCTTTAATAGACATGTATGTGAAGTGTGGAAATTTAGCGTATGCAAGGAGGGTCTTTGATGGGTTAGCTCAGAAGAACATTGTTTCGTGGACCGCCATGATCGCAGGATACATACATTGCAGAAATTTACAAGAGGGAGCAAAACTTTTCAACAGAATGCTGGTGGAAAGAAATTATCCGAATGAGATTACAATGTTGAGTTTGGTTATCGAGTCTGGGTCTGTAGGTGCTCTGGAATTGGGCAAGTGGTTGCATGCCTATATTTTGAGAAATGGGTTTATCATGTCTTTGGCATTGGCCACTGCTTTGGTTGATATGTATGGAAAATGCAAGGAAATCACATATGCAAGGGCTCTTTTTGATAGCGTAGATAACAAAGATGTCATGATTTGGAGTGCCTTGATCTCAGCTTATGCACATGCCAATTGCACTAATCAGGCTTCAGACCTCTTTGGTCAGATGAAGGATAGTGGAGTAAGACCAAATCAAGTAACCATGGTTAGCCTCATTTCATTATGTGCAGAAGTTGGAGCCCTTGACTTGGGCAAGTGGGTTCATTCTTACATAAACCAGCAACGGATGGAAGCTGATGTCATATTAAGAACAGCTCTAGTGGACATGTATGCGAAGTGTGGGGACATAGATATGGCTCTGATGCTATTCAGTGAAGCCTCAAATCGAGATAGTTGCATGTGGAATGCCATGATGACTGGCTTTGCTATGCATGGTTGTGGAAAACAAGCTTTGGAACTCTTTGAGCAAATGGACAGACAAGGTGTTGAGCCTAATGACATCACATTCATAGGAGTTCTCCATGCTTGTAGTCATGCTGGATTGGTGGCAGACGGAAAGTGGCTTTTTGAGAAAATGGTTCATGTCTATGGGTTGGCTCCTAAGGTTGAGCACTATGGATGCATGGTGGATTTGTTAGGTCGAGCTGGGAACCTTGACGAGGCTCATAAATTGATCAAAAGCATGCCTATGCAGCCCAACACAATTGTATGGGGTGCCCTGCTTGCTGCGTGCAAAATTCACAAGAATCCCAACTTGGCTGAAGTGGCAGCAAGAGAGCTTCTTGAGTTGGAACCTCAAAACTGCGGTTACAACATTCTGATGTCAAACATCTATGCAGCATCAAATAGATGGAATGAAGTTGATGGGGTGAGAAAATCTATGAAAGATAGAGGAACCAAGAAAGAACCAGGACTGAGCTCAATTGAAGTAAACGGCTCAGTTCATGACTTCATAATGGGAGATAAGGCACACCCTCAAACAAGAAAGATTTATGAAATGTTGGCTGAGATGACCAAGAAGCTGAAAGAGGCTGGTTACACTCCTAACACTTCTGTTGTGTTGCAGAACATTGATGAGGAAGAGAAAGAAACGGCGGTTAACTATCATAGTGAGAGACTGGCCATGGCATTCGGTCTTATCAGCACTGCTGCAGGTACGCCAATTCGGATTGTAAAGAATCTCCGAGTTTGTGAAGATTGTCACACAGCAACCAAGCTTTTATCCAAAATATATGGGAGGGTAATGATAGTAAGGGACCGTAACCGCTTTCACCATTTCAGAGATGGATATTGTTCTTGTGGTGATTATTGGTAGCAAGCCGATAATTATTTTGTAAAATGTAACATATATTCTAAATGTAATTAATTCATTCTTTGTATTGATGAGAAAACATTCTACACTGAAACAAATTCCAGATAAACAATTACAATTTGCTTCCCTTTCTTCCTTGTAAAGAATGATCAACATTCGTACCCAAAAAAAAGAGATACTATCAGCCAAGCCACATTTCAGTTTTACGATCCCCACTACCTCCAACAGAATGCCGAATGCTGATCTTCTCAGTAGCATATTTCTGCTGCAGCCACTCAAAAGCATTGACATCAAGTTTCCCAGCAACTGATTTCCCTTGTTTTCGTCGATTATGTTGCTCCCGAATCGAAGCCCAAAGTTTCTCAATGGCATTCCTTTGTTTAGACGTGAACCTTGCTATGTTATCAAAAGCATGCTTTGCTAATATGTCTATTACTGTTTGGCACCTGAAAAGTACAATCAAACAAAACATAAGTTCTAGCTATTCAGATCAGAAACCTGACAGAATGTGTTGAAATAATTGACATTTCAAAAGAACCTACCATGGCGTTTTATAACGATGAGCAGCTATCTCTAAACAAAGAACCAAGGCTTCTCTTTGTGACCTGAGGAATCTCTTGGTCTCTCCCTCCTCCTTCCTGATCTTGGTAGTTCTGTCTTTTTTCCCCTTTGTTTTATCATCTTTCTTCATCGGGGTGGGAGTTAAAAATGCATCAAGCCCAAATGGATCAGACTCTTTCTCATTATTTTCTTCAGCTGGCGCAGCTGAAACCATATCTTGCTCCATATGATCATCTTGATCTGCTATCTTTGTTTCATCTTCCAGCACAGCTGCTTCCTCTCTGTCATCGTCCTCGGTTGCAACAGGCAGATTAGATATGGCTTCTTTTACTTGTGCAGCTGTTTTTGAAAACTTTGTAAAAGTTCACATAGAAAAAGCATGACAATGGAAAAAGAAGGAAAGGAAAGAAAGAAAAAAAAAAAAAAAAAAAAAAAAAAAAGGGCCTGGTGGAAGAAATCATAAAAACAAACAGTAGTTCCAAACCAAAATTCATCATTAGATATTACATGAAACAAAACGATTATTTATTATAGAAAACATATATTTTTATTAACTAAAATAAAGAATGAATTACAAGAAAGTGACAGACAAGATATTTATCAAAGCTCAAGGAAAAAAAGCTAGAAAAATACAAGAAATATATTAGCCATCATAAACAATTCACAAGACACCAGTCATCAATTGTTACGAGGAATTCAAAGAAAGGGGAAATACTGATGTGTGGATATTAATGTCACATACTTTAAACAACGGATAATTGGTTCAGAATGCATGTCAAAAATGGTTTGCACAGTTCATGCTTCTCATTAAATCATATAACAAGGAAGCTAGTCATTACATGATTCTGAAAGTATGATCACAAACTATGCCATAGAAAAAGGTTCTCACCTGGAAGCTGTCATCAGTAAATAATTCATTTGCCATCACTGCCCTGATTCTCCATGCAGTTAATTGATTCTTTTGCTTCTTATTGAGACACTAATATATAAAAAATTAGGAGATGTAAGTTGAGTATTCAAATACAAATTCATGAACCAGCAGTAACATCACCCTGTACTATACATAGACTTATGATCTTACCTCAGAGGCATCTTTTGCGGCTGAGAAGAGTGCATGGTAATCGGCTCGCAGAGAAGGATCCGTACAAGCAGTAGGTGATGCCATTGCGGCTTCTAGAACGGAAAAGAAGTAATCACCAGTTTCAGGCTTGACACTTCCCGCCTGAATCAGCTGGATGGCAAGCTTTGAAGCCTTACTAAACTTTGTAGGATTCTTTATATGTGATGCTATTTTCTGCATTGCCTCAATGACCTGCTGCTCTGAGGCATCTGTCGTGGTTTTAAACCTCAACTTTCTTTCAGTTACAGGGGCTGAAAAACAGTTCCAACACTTTTAGCTTCATTTTAAAAACATTGAAATTTCATACATACAAGTAGCATAAATGAAGAAATAAAGAGAATCTAAGGGCCCGTTTGATAACCATTTCAATTTTAGCTTTTAGTTTTCAGTTTTTGTGCTATAGTACAGAGGAAAATGAGAGTGAGAATGGGAGTGAGGATGAGATTGAAAGAGAGGATGAGAGGAGAGGATGGGAGGGAGGAGTAACAAAAGTGAAAACAAAAACTTGAAAGTGAAAACAATTTCAAATAGATTTCAGTTTTTAGTTTTTGTTTTCACTTTTGTTACTCCTTCCTCCCATCCTCCCTTCTCATCTTCCCTCTCAATCCCATCTTCACTCTCATCTCACTTCCATTCTCCCTCTTTTTCCTCTATACTCTAGCACAAAAAATGAAAACTAGAAACTAAAATTGAAATGGTTATCAAATGGGCCCTAAATATAATAAAATGTCAAGAAGACCCAGATTGGCAGCTAGAATTTGAACTGGAAACAAACTACATGACACCAAATAACATAAGCAATGCAAGTCCCAGAGAAAATGAGTTCAATTTTTCTTATTGGGGTTTCTCAGCATCGAAAACTAATGCAGGAGTAAAACCCTAAAAGCACTTTTTTGCAGCCCTTGGAAATATAATCAAGGAACACAAGTAAAATAATGAGTTTTGAAGCCACCCCAATTACAAACAAAGGAGAAATGAAGAAAGAATTACCTTCTTCTGCGTTTGATTCAGAGGGTTTAGGCCGCTTGAGGGCGCTTTTGAGAATTGGTTTTTGGGGAGCAGGAGCAGGAGCAGGAGCAGGAGCAGGAGCGGGAGAAGAAGAAGAGTCGGTGTTAAAAGTAGCGGTTTTTCGTTTTTGTTGTGGTTTTAACGCTTCCTGCGGTGGTTTCCGTTCTTGAAGTTCAGAAGAAGAAGGAGGAGGGTTTGCAGAAGGTGGAGGGAGGCCTTCAAACAGGTCGTCAGCCATGTCTCTCTCCAACGCGTTCAGATTGACCAAACCAGCGCGCAAGTATAAACGACGATCCGACCCGATGGGTCTCAACCCGGTTCTTATATTGTTCAAATCGGAGCCCTGTCTTATATTGGGCCTATTACAATGCAGTACCTCAACCCACTGTGAATACATTTCATTGGGCCGGACACGATCAGTTCAGACTTATCCGCATTTAACCCAAGGCATAATTACTAATTTACCACTTGTTTGTTATGCCACTGTTAAATTACTCGGCGCAGCGGGAAACGGTTACTATTTTTTTGTCCACCATGTTCATGTTTCATGAACTACAAGCTTAACTATACGTAAATTATTATAATGTAATGATGAAATTTTTATTTTTTGTTAACAAAAATTACCAGTGTACTACGTATTCCAAGGCATTGTATGTATAGGCAAGAGCTACTTTTATGGTTTGAGTGCAGATCAAAGTATGGTACCATACAATAATTTCTCGAGATTATATATAGGCACCCCTTCTAATCAAACTACATATATAATCTTAGAATTTAAGAAGAAGAAAAAAGGGGGAGCATGCAAAGATGGTGGAGTGGTGATAGGTTGAAATAACTTGAATGGGCTGAAGATTTACAAGAGAGAATATATCGAAGAATTAACTTCAACTAATTTCACGTTATGGAGATGATACAATGAAAAGATTGTGGGAGTAAAAGTCGAATGTTAATTGAACACCCCTACTCTCATTCCCTTTTTTCCCATGGACTAGCTCACCCCAAATTGACCCACAAAAAAAAAGAAAAAAAGAAAAAAAGATCAGCCCCAAGAGAGAGATATTATATAATATTAGGGTCTAGATTTAGCGATCAGAAATATCAGGTTCGAGTTTATGTGTGAGAAACCCCCCTATCCTGTAGTTTAGACTATCACTTGTACTAAAACCTGTATATGTATATATAATATTATTTGTATTAACAAACGACAACCTTCTCATTTCGCTTTTATAGTTGATAAACTAAAATATTGTAGAGGCAGCTTTTTGTTTTGAAATTATATGTTTTAGATATAGAATACAAGAAAAATGCTTAAAACTAGGGAATGCTCTAATTAGCATGCATTATGCGTAGGAAAAGAACAAGCTAGCTATCAAAAAGCAGTACTGCATTCCAATTTGTAGTGTACTTAACGTACGTAGTTACTGTCGTTCATACTATAAGATATCCTTTGATTTGATTAATCTGCTTGTGTTGTGCTTGGATATAAAAACAAAAACAAATCCCCAAGTACACCTTGAAACTATCTAGGAATGACCTATATACATATATAATTATATGCGTATACTTTTGACCTAATTTTAACTTAAAGTGAACGTAATTAGATGGAGCACTAAGAGAGGGTGACCAAGGATGAGAGAGAGATTATAAGAATTAGGGTTTACAAAAAAGGGGCTAAAAGGGTTATATTTGTAAAAAATTGCTTAGTTTAACTAGTGGATTTATCTACATCATCACCGAAGAAGTATGCACATTGGCGAATCTCATTAATTTTTGGTGTTTCTTGTATTTGATATTTGTTTATAGACGGCTAGATTTATATTTTTTATTTATTTAATATAAACGATAATCTAAATTATAAGAATGGAGATTTTTTATACACAACTACACGACTATTTAGACTTGGAGTGAAGGGGGGGTTATGTAATTATGCATCCATCATCATGATCATGAGAAGGGTTAGCTACTAGAGTAGTAGAGAGCTGGCTAAAGGAGAAGAAAGGAGAGGAGGACGTGCACCCCACCTTCTCACGCGCACGCAACCCAACCCAAACCCTAATTCCCAAGACCGACACCCCATGGCATTGGCATACACCACCTTCCCCATATTCTTTTCCATTTTTATTTATCTTAATTCTCATCCCCTTCTCATTTCTGTTCAGCTTGTAGTGAGAGAAACCTAAAGAAAGAAAAGAACCCAAAAGCCACAGACCTTAACCTCGACACCCACCCACCCACCCTACCCAAGTTAACCCCTACTCAAAACCAAACTTTCTTCTTCTTCTTCTTCTTCTTCTTCTTCTTCTTCGTTAAATCAGATCTCTCTTACACTTCACTTCTTATATAATTGGCTGGCTAGCCACCTATACAGCTCTCTCAATTTTCCCATTTCCCTACCCTACCTCTTCTAATTAATTAGTTTTTACTGTTTCTATAATTTCCTTAAGTAGAAAACATCCTCCTACAGATATGCGGCTCTTTCTTGTTCAAGCTTACTGAAATATATATTCACATCACTTCTAGTTGCTTGGTTTGGCTATTTTTATTTTATTTTTTATATTAGCTTATTTCTTCCCTGCTTCGAGAATCGAGAGTGAACCCAAAATCAGCCTCTTCTATTCTACTTGTATTTGTATAACTATAAGAGTCAAAAATTGTTCATCACCTTAATTAACCATGTATATATATATATATGATCGTTAAGATCTAAGAGATTTAAATTCATATATACATCGATCCGTGCTAGTCTTTTTCATTTTTCTGGATCGACCATGGCGAACCGATGGTGGGCTGGACAGGTAGGTCTACCAGGAGGAGTGAATGAAAACTCAGCAGCAGCCACCAACTCTCCAATGAAAAACATCATTAAACCAGATCTGGGAATCTCAATGAACAACAACACCGGAACCAGCAGCCTCGGAGGATCAGGCGGCGACGACGATGACGACCGAGACAACAACAGCGACGATCCCAAAGAGGGAGCAATCGAAGTCGCCACCAGACGCCCGAGGGGCCGTCCCCCGGGCTCCAAGAACAAGCCCAAGCCACCCATCTTCGTGACCAGGGACAGCCCTAACGCCCTCCGCAGCCACGTCATGGAGATATCCAACGGAGCCGACATCGCCGACAGCGTCGCCCGGTTCGCCAGAACAAGACAGCGTGGTGTCTGCGTCCTGAGCGGAAGCGGCACCGTCACCAACGTCACAATCAGGCAGACCTCCCCGGCAGGGTCGGTCATGGCGCTTCACGGAAGGTTCGAGATTCTCTCGTTGACCGGGGCGTTTTTGCCCGGACCGGCACCGCCCGGGTCAACTGGAATGACTATATACTTGGCGGGCGTGCAGGGACAGGTTGTTGGGGGCAGCGTGGTGGGCCCGCTTGTGGCGTCGGGGCCGGTGATGGTGATCGCAGCCACGTTTTCAAATGCGACGTATGAGAGGTTGCCGTTGGAGGAGGAAGAAGAGGTGGGTGGTAATAATTCGGGGCAGGCGGCGGGAGGAGCGGGGTCCCCACCGGGGATTGGTGGTAGCGGAGGAGGGATGGGGGACCCGTCGATGGGGGTGGGGGTTTACAACTTGCAGCCGAATATGCTTCCGAATGGAGGAGGACAGGCACTGAGCCATGATCAAGGGGCGGCTTATTCATCTTGGGCGCATGGTCAAGGTGGTGGTAGGCCTCCATTTTAATTAGTTAGTTAATTAATCAATCAATTTAGGGATATGGATTATTGTGAATTAGTTATGAATAATATATATACTGAGAATGAGTAATTAGCAGTTGTAGTAGTAGTGTTTGGAATTAACTTGAATTTCAGAGAAACTTTGAATGAATGAAGCTGCAAATCTTTCTTGTGCTTAATTTGTACTTAGAGATGAGTTGAAGAACTGGTCATCAGTGGAGTGTACTCTCTCTCTGTGGACTCTGTGCATATTTTCCAATAATGATCATGATAGTTAACTATTTTGTTTCTGCATCATCATCATCATCATCATCATCTTCTTCTTCTTCTCTTCTCTAGTTAGTTAATTTTAGCCCTTTATGAATTAGTCATTTTATCTACATCAACAGGTATATATATATTAGTCAATTACCAATGAAAAACAATCATGATTGATGGAGGTGTTAAATTGAAAAAGTACAACATATATATTTTAATTAATTTCTACAACATATATCTTTGGCATCAATTTTGTATATTATATATATACTAGTATATGATATCATATATATACTGCTCTTATATTATATACATGTTTTATGGTGGGATTTTCATTGGCTATACACATGTTCGTCTCTTTATAATTATATAACTATATTTTCAAGTTTTTCAAGTCTAATTTTTAAGAGTTTAATACGCAGGTCTGTTTCTCTAGCTAATTTTCTATTAGCTAGTTTTATAGGACCGGCTTTGGTGGTCAACTTTGGCTACTAATTAAACTGCATATATTATATTGGTATATATAGGATTTCAAAAAACTTTGCCATGCATGTCTAATTGAAGAGCCAAACCTGAAGCCTGAAGCTCTAGCTAGCTTAATCTATGTATAAATACAATATAATTATAGTTAAGGTGCTGCAACTAGTCCCCTGACATGCATATTTTTCACATATATACATATAGCACTGCTTAGTCTTAGTGGCATGAATGTGCGTAATGGAGAACAATAGTCAGCAGATTCCCAAGCTATCGCATATAAGAGTTTAATATACATATATAGTTATTCTCTTATTCGGATGTCTGCACGTTATTATCGTACGGATACTACTGTAAATAGGAAAGAAAGTAGGGAAAGGTAATAAAAATACATGGCATCAGCAAGATAATAAGGTCCGGACATTCACATAAAATAATAAATAAGCTTATTTGAGAGACACTCTTATAGGGCCGACTCTACATTGTATTTCACTAATCCAAACCGTCTATTTTTTAGATAATCATTCAAAGATCATCTCTACAAAAAAATTACTTGAATCCAATATCATTTGATTACTCAATTGAATTATTGAAATTTTAGTACTTTCTTGAAGCACCATGTTCATTGATTTTGTATGATACAATTGGATGTTGAAATGGTTTCCAATTTGTCTAATTTTTTGCAAGGATGATTTATTAATATAGACTTAAAAAATAGATGGTTTGGATTGTTAAAAAATAAATCGTAGGGGACCTTAAAGGGTGTCCCTCAAATAATTTTATTTGAGGGATCCCTCAATAGAAGGAGACTGTATGTATATATATAAGATTTATATGCGCAAAAATTCGAGTTTTTGAGAGAAGAAACACACCCAGTTATTTAAATGGAGATTATTATACCCAATATAAGATCAGGGCATGCATTGCATATAAGATGAGTGCAGCCTTGAATATATCAGTCATGGGGAAGATCGAAATGACCATATATAACAATTGTCCAAAACAAGGTCATCCGCGGATTAATATAACAAATTTACAAATCCTGTTGTTGTTATTATAATTAAGATAGAGTTGTTTATATTTGGATGGGACATGATGCACGACAAAATTCAAGTTAGATAGATTAATATTAAGGAAAGGAAAAGTTGAAAGGATGTCTTCTTGGCACTCAAAGGATACACATATAGATGATGATATAATCCCAGGCCAAAGCCAGATATGGAGTTGTTTACTGAAACATGGAGGACCCTCTTCACATGGACTCACATGTCATTGTTTAATCAACCCTAATTAATTTACATTTGTTTATGATAATATTACCCAGTAATTTGCATACAACATTCGTTCTAAATTATAAAATAATTTATAATGGTAAAGCAGCTTTGTGATGTGGATGGAACCCACCTTGGGGAGTTTAATATTAAAAGCAGACCAGACCTGGATGATTACAATTAAATAATATCGGGACGACTAAGACTAGAAAACAAATAAAACCTCCTTTTTGTGCACCAGTAGTTGTCTTTGCTCATTGCTCATTGCTTATTGGTCATTGCTCTTTGCTCTTTGCTCTTTGCTCTTTGCTGGTGTAGTTTTACCAACATGTTTTGAAGCCCCGGGTTCTGTATGAAAGTCTAAACAACGCAATTAACTATAATACTTTGGAAAGGGAATCCGCAAAAACTGCATTAAGGAAATGAGGACAACCCAATAAAGTCGAAGTTGCATAGTATTATAATAATAATAACATAATTAATGGAAAACCTAGTGACATAATTAACGAATAAAATAAATCACCGGTGGAGAAAAAACTGAAAGCATATTATCACTTTCCATCTCTACCTCTGAAGATGAATGTGAATGATGCAAACACAATTAATTTATAAATATTAATTAAAATTTGTATTGGATTGGATGCATGCACCTGCCGTGGAGTACACGTCGTGTTTGGCCGGATTAGGTGCTCTGCTCTCCTACTTCACTGCTGTCCTGCAAAAGCTACTACTAGGGCATTCATTCATTCATATTATAATTAATTTTATATTAAAAGATGGATGCAGGCTTGCTTTTGTAATTGACGACGTGCTTCAAGCGTGCTTATCACTACTTTAATGCTTGGTTTCGTATAACGCTTTGAACCTATACGCAGATATATATATATATATATATATATATACACTATATATTCTGTATGAACTGATCGCTAGTCGAATGACAACACGACAACCAGCTCTTGGATCTCATTTAGATTGATCAACAAATCATATACGATCTTTGAATAGAATATTTACTTTAATCATGATTCATGGGATGGGATCATGGGAGTGCCTATCTTAATTAATTTTCCTCCTCTCAATTAGTCTGTAAGATGTGCATAGTAGTGACAATCTGCTTTTCTGTTAATTAACTAATGTCTTTAGTTTACGATTTACATATTTAAATGCAAGCTTGAGCTTAGAATAGCTTTTCAATAGCGTGATTACTTTATAAACCTCTGCAGTTCAGTAAAACAGGTGGTGTTCCATTATTTCGAGCAGGAACAAACCAAATTCTTAAAGGGAGGAATTGATCATTACAAAAAACCTTTGTAAGGCCAACTTTGTTTCAGATATTGCATGGAGATTATTAGAAGATAAAAACTTATATATATATATATACTTATTCTCTCATTCGGATATTCGCATATTATTATCATGCGAATGTCATAATAAACAAGAAAAAAGACAAAGAGGGATAGTAAAAAATACATAACATTCGCATAATAATAACATTCGTACATCTACATAGGAGAATTTCTATACATATATAAAATCCTGGAATATTTGAGACAGTTCAGGCGCGCAAGTAATATATTGAAAAACTTCGGTATAAATTGGTGATAAACATCTTTTCTTTATGTTTTGTTTTTGAAGATTTGAGAATTTGCAGAAAAGACAAAAGGATGGGTTGGGTTGAATAATGGGTACCAATTCCAAAGGAACTGGTTTAGGGTTTCCTTTTGACATTTTGACTAGACTTAGAGAACCGCCCAAACTTAGGTCATTTTGGTCAGTTAGGGAGCTGGGTATACTACACGTGGATGATGTGGTCATTTTGGTCCATAGAGAACCGCCGGGTTTTGGTTATCCCTATCCATAATATGGATATGTATGAAGCACATGGAATTCGACCCGTCCATTGTCAACTGCCCTACCCATTTGTAGCCGTAACAAAATTTACTCAGTTCGGGGAAAAAAAGTTTAGAGCTTAATTCCTTCATCTAGTGAAGAACAATTTAGATTAGGTAAAAACTTATCGTATACTTTGGCCTTTCTTTCTTGTGAGAACACATTAGCTAATTTGAGAACTGACTTTCACAGCTCTTCTCAGAAATTCAATGGAGCCCCAGATTTGTACCTTTCTCATATACATATAACGAAAAAGTTGCTCACAGCAAGCTACATTGTAGAAAAAAGCAGCATGATTTCTTCAAAGGGCAGCATCTCAACAAGAGAGACCGCTTCAAATGACTTCATTTCATACAGGCTTCTGGAACTTTCCATGAACCCACACCCTTCGCATGCTCTTCCCATTTCGACGATTCACCGACTTAACGCAGCAGTATTCAAGCTCAAGCTGACATAAGCACAAGTTATGGAACATTAGACAGTAGAAAATGAAGCAAGTATGTGCACATCTAATTTTAGGATCTCCACGCCCGGCACATCCCACCCCCATCCCCCCAAAAAAAAATTGTTTTGTGGTAACATTAGTACCTCAGTGAAGCCTGCACCCACAAATAGATTCCTCACAGTATCTAAACAGAAGAAATAAGAGCGGGTTCCATCTGATCGCATATACTCCCTGAATCCCACTCTTTTGTCCATCTCAAATCGAAGCATAGACATATCATAGAGGCCTGAATTTCATCAAACTGATTATGTCAGCAGGAAAAATATTAGAAATATTTCTGAAAAAAGGTTGAGAGCTAGAGCTCTTTAAAATCTTTTACAGCTCCAAGTCCAAACCAGGCTCTGACTAATCAATTACCATAATCCCTAAAGAACAGCAGGCCTCCAGGTTTCAGGACAGAAAAACACTCCTTGATGGACTCTGGCATCCTATGAAGTGGTAATGCTGACAGTGTGAATATCTGACATATTTCACAGAGAAAAAAGAAACTCAAATCACCAAATACTGTTTCTTTGATGAGAAGAAAATGGTGGGAAAGTATTCTAGCATAACAACTCAAAGCAATGGAGGTCAGAACAGAGGAGCACCAATAAAATTCTAGAAATAAAAGTTACAAAGTTACGCATACTAATATTTAGCAAAGAAATCTAAATGAAGTTCAGCAACTTCCCAAGTCTCTGTTTGAATTGACAGAAAATCTTTACCAAATAGAGACCAGATGATTTGAGACAGGCAAAGTATTTTTACACCTAAAGCTCTATCTTTTTCCCAGTTAGCAAGCGTTCAGACAAAAGATTTCTGATCCAACAAAGTCTATTGGCAAATGTAAGATTCAAAGGTTCTCTGGCCAGTTTGATGTAATGAATGCTTACCAGGGTAACAAAATCAACCCCACCAATGCAACATCTACTTTCACTCAATGAATATGAATCATTAAGATTTTTTTGACTTTTCCCTCTACCATCTGGAGAAACAACAAAACTGTTTGAGTATTATACTATTATACCTTATATGAGTCTGATTGTACTGCACATAAACATACAATAAACAGATGAAGTAACTAACCTGAAAAGCACAGCTGCTGTGTTTGTGCAATATTTTCTTGACAAGGATTGCAGGCCAACCATGTTGGAAATGCGGTTACAGAAAAATCACAACAAAATGGATGAAAACGATGTTCGAAAGATACTTTGTTACAGGCATATACCGTCTCCTTAACCCTCTCCAGGGCCTCATTGCTGCAATCGCAAGCATAAACAATGATGTTTTCATTGCCACTGCAGAGGAAATAGTATCGTGTGAGGATAACAGGTAGAAAGCAAACAGCATGGTCTGAAACCTATGGCAAACGTCTCCAGTTTAATGAAAATATTCATATAAACAAAACATAAACCAAACCTAAGACTGCTAAACCAGACAGAAAGTGCAAATTAACCGAAGCAAAAAAAAAAGAACTACTAAACCTCAACTAATTAAAGGGCGTTACTGCGGAGGATTCAGATTTCTAAAGACAGGCAAGTAAAAATTGAAATGAGACAAGTTTAGAGGATACCGTAATATAGGAAGAACAGTGCTGCCATTACCACATCCCACCTCCAAAACCTTAGAATTATCTTTGTAGTTGACTAGTTCAGGGAATTCTTCTAACAGATATCGTCTTTCCTGCATTGAATCACATAGACTGAATAAAACAAGAGAATAGAAAAATGGATCATAAGTACCCTAAGGGGCAAATTGAAATAAACGAGAAAGAACAAATATGATGCAAAGCCTGACATTAGAACTGAAACCCCAATTTGTAAAAGATGGAGACTTTACTTACACAGTAACTATCTATAATTACATAGAAAGATGGAGGCTTTCAAATTGAAATGGCATATTCCTTAATCAAAAGGGTTAAGAGAGGAAAAGCAATGGGACCTTGAAGAACTTGCCAGAGGCATGCCGGTGGTGAAATGCGTTCCATGCGTGAGACCCAGCAGCAGCATAATGGGCTTCATCTACGAGTGAAATTGAAATAGGGTTGGGTTGGAAGGGGAGCAAGTGGTAGCTGAACGACGGGTCGTTTTCCACCTGAACTCTTAGCTCATCCCAGTCGAAGTCCTTGCTAAAGTACTCTGCTTTTCTCATTTTCTTCAATTTTACTCAATTTTCAAATAGGTGAACGGTTGAATTTATGAAAGACAGGGGTGAAACTGCAACGGCTGGAGGCTGAAGAAGAAGAAGGAGGACTGAAATGTAATAATACAATTATAGGAGATGAGAGGAGAGACTAGAGAAGGAAGGGCAATGGCGCTTTTCTCTGGTACTCTGGTTTTGCTCTTCTTCAGTTCAGATGTTAGGGCTTTGGTTTGGCGTCAACTTCAAGCACGTGCGATTTTTTTTTTTTTTTTTTTTTTTTGTTTGTTTGTTTGGGGGGGGGGAGCCAGTGAAAACTACAAACTTGCAAGATGAGAACAAATCTGGATAGTCAAAAACACCCTTGCTTTTTTTGCTGATTTTGTTATTATTATTGATCAAACAAATTTATGTTCCTTCCCCTCGGGCTTTTTGAATATGATCGGTGGTTCAGAGACCAAAAGAAGAAAAAGAAAAAGAAAAAATACATAGACAGAAGCAACTGGATGTAGCTTCCTGAAACTTGTGTTGAAGCACCAGGGCAACCCAATCTGACAGAGCAACACAACACAATTTGTTTTGATTGGATTGGATTGAATAATCAATGGAGTAAATAGCTCAGTGGAGCAATTATACTAATCAATGGAGTATATAGCTCAGTAGAGCAATCATACAACAGAAGAGTCTGACGTTTAATTGTGACATGAAGGGCATATGGTTAGCAATATCTAACTACTATATTTTCTAATTAAGTGAAAACTAAGTTTAAAGTTGGATTCTCTCTAACTTGTGCTCATTAGAGAGCCTAAAAAAGATGTGGAAGAAAAACTGCTCATTGCAGTACTCTGCGAAGTTCATCTGCCATCCCTTGCAATAGAACAGGTTTTCGAATCAATCCATTCATTCCCACCTGTAGACATCTCTCCCACACATGTTCCTCCGCACTTGCTGTCAGGGCTATGATCAATGGCCAATTAGGGCTGTGGAATTTCCTGATTCTCATTGCCACTTCAAACCCATCCATTTCAGGCATGTGGAGATCCAAAACAACAATTTGAAATGAATTTTCAGCATCACTGAGGGCACTCAGGCATTCGAACCCGGAAGAAACAGCAGTTACTTGACAGCCGAGTTTCTCGAGCAGCTTATTGGTCACAGTCCTGTTTACATTATCATCATCGGCTACTATAACCCGAAGGCCTCTGAACTGTGAGTTGGAATTTGGTTGCTCCAAGTTATTTCCAGGGAGATACATACTTCTCCCAATAGATGGGAGGATTTGAAACCTGAGAACAAGTGTCATGCTTTCTGCAAAATCCACTGGGTTCATGGATATCCAGATATTGCCTTGCATCATCTGCAGATAATTCATTATAGAAGAATCATGAGTTGATAAAATTACAGATAATTTGTCTTCTCATATCAATTCTAATGCATCGTAGTTTTGACCAATTTAAAGAAAAAAGTGAAATCGAACTCTATAAATGAGCCACACAGAAGGCGTATGTTCAATTTGAAAAAAAAAAGGAGCCAATCATCTTACAGTCATGCAAGCTGAAGTGCTGAAGTCCTACTAAAACTTTTTGGCATTTCTTGTAGAAAATGTACATCAAGCAGAACGACCAATATTGAAAAAATAAAATAAACACAGCTCTTACCTGGACAATCTTTTTACAAATGCTGAAGCTCAGACCCTTCTTAATTTCATCATTGTTGTGCCTCACACCAGCATAGTGCGTCAATGAGACTAATCCACCAGGACGAGAACTTCCCTCACTAATCTCAAATTCAAACTTTATAGATACGTACTCATCTGGTACATTTGATCTCCAGATTCCTTGCAATCTATCATCCTGGCCCTCACTACCACTCTCTGAAATAGCCCGGAAGATGACAGTCCCCACGCCATTATAGGTGCTCAATAGATACCCAACCATATGCAATATTACTTGGAAAGCCCTTCTTTCATCCCCAATCACCTGATTAGGCAATGAGCTTTGAACATCAACTTCAAAACTAAAGCCTTTATACATACACAGGCACTCGGCAAGACAAGAAGCTTCCTTGATCATAGAATGTAGTTGAAATGGCCTCATCTCCAACGGGAACCTTCCATTATCTTTTGCTGACATCTCCATCACATCATTGATCAAAGTGCAGAGAACATAACTAGTTTTTGCCATTGTGTCCACAATTAAGCTCTGTTTGAAACTTAAATTCTCTTGAAACATAGAAAGCAAGCCCAAAATCGTATGCATTGGCCTTCTCATTCCATGACTCATTACCTTCTGAAATGAATGCCTTGCTTGGCTGGCCATCATTGCATTCTTCTTCGCCTGTTGCAACGCACGATTTTGTTCACTCAGTTTCTCTCTCATTAGTTGAGACTCTTCAAGTACTGCAGCATGGGATAGAGCCACAGCAACCTGGTCAGCCACAACTTCAACTATTTCCATCTCATGATGGCTCCAACCTCTAGAATCCATTACTGGAAGAACCAAAACCAATATCGCATAATGAGTGTCAACCAACTGCGGTGTACCCCCTTTGAAATTTGAAACCCGAAGCATTGGCATTCGGATTGCTGCCACAGCACCTGATTCACCAGACTCACCACTACTTGCAGATCCAAGTGCTGACTCAGGACTTAGTATTGTTACCCTCTCGCTCTCTCTTATCTCCAACACATCTGGGTCATTAATTGGGATAGAACAGAGATAATTTCGCGAAGAGCTTGATTTCAACTCATAGGTCAGGTTCATCTCTGCTCTATCCTCATTCGGCATCCAAACAGCACAATTATGCAAGTCTAATGTCTTTGAAAGCTCAACCAGAGTTGTATACAATATGGTATGCTTATCCAGTGACTTTCTAATTTCACGGGTCAGCATTCGGACATGCCAACTGGCTTCCTTCTGTATCTTCATCATCCCAACCTCTTGGTCTAATTCCAACACATTTTGCCTCAAGAACAGTTCTCTCACCTTCACTTTGAGAATAAGAGGAAACAGAGTTAAAAGGGTTATTGCAGTTGCACATGAGACCAAGGCTGTGAGGAATTTGGCAATGGTGAGGGACAGCATCAACTGGAATGACTGGCGGCCGTTGTACGTCCATGCATTTAGCAAATGGGTCAATCCACAAAGGACTATAAACGCAATAAACTGAAGGAGGACCCATTTGAATGGAACATTTGAGCAGCTGACAAAGTAAAGAAGTTCTATAGGGATTGAAAAATATGCTATTGCAATCAAGAAATCACTCACTCTTTGGTACTCTAAAATGTTTGGAATGCTCCAAAAACCCTCCTCGTCACAATTACAATGTGCAAAGTCATTATCAACGGCTGAAACAAAACTAATGAAATAGAAAACTAACAATCCAAGAGCTAATTCTCTTAACATTGCATCCACCCAAGTGATTAACTTGTTCACAGCATTTTGCTTGGATGAAAGTTTTTATTTTTCAAACTCCTGAAGAACAAAATTTCACTTGCAAACCGAAAAACTAAAGAAAACTAGTTGAATCGTATCAGTGCGATACCAACTTAAAAATTGAAAGCTCACTTCCGTATTCTAAGATTTGGAAACACCCACCTGGATTTTCGGAGTAAAACTGACATAACCATCTGCTAAATTCTAAAGATCTAACTAACCCATCTGCTAAATTCTATTTCAAATCAAAATTGTCTATAAGCTTCCTCACTTGTTTTTTTTTCTGGGTTTTACAACCTTTCTTCCATTTTAGTAGAAGAAGAAATTGAAAACCGAAATTTTCTTCCTCCGCAGAAGGAAAACGAACCAAAATTAGAAGTAAAAGAAGCTTTCAGCTTATCAAAATGGAAGAGTAAGCAAGAAAAGAAACAAAAATCAGAAAGGTACCTAAAAGAACACACCTCGTGCCTCCCGTGGCTAAACCAAATTTCAGCTTATTCACTGTCTCACAAATCAAAACTTTATTGCTAAACTGAACTTTTTTTAATGCAAAACGACCCACCGGCCACCGCCAAAAACCCAATCTTTCACTGCCAGCAATACCAAATCCTCCACAGCTAACACAACAACACCAACCCAAGAGAGCAAATTAATACAATACAAACAGCCAAAAACGAATAAGGCCGAAAAAAAACTAACGAAACAAACCGGACCCAAGCTGACTCAGAAAGGAAGGGGTCAGTTGTCATGTTGAAGGGAGATTGTGGGACCCACACGTGTATGTGAAGAGAACTTAGACCTTCTCTTTAAAAAAGGTGCTAACTTATTTATTGCAGGTTGTAATAAAATATGAACGGTTTTTTAATTTTCTTTTTTATAATTAAAAATGTGGGCGAGTACATATGGTGGGGCACGCATCAGAGTGTTTTCACCGTTGGATGGATACGATGATATTGTACGTGGCAGATTTGGCTGTTGGGAGGTGTGACCGTTAGAAGTTGACCCGTGAGTCGGTTCGTGACTCGCATTCTAATTTCTATCAGCTAGTGGTCAACGGGTAGCTTTGACCTTTTTTGTTTGTTTTCATTGGGAGGAGCCCAAGTTGATTAAGCCCAACAGGGATGAAAGCAAACCACAAGGCAAAGGCCCAGAAATGGGGAGGAGCCCAAACAAGCAGAGGAAGAAAACACAGTACTGACAACAACTAATCGACAAAACAAAAGCAAAGAACAGAGCCAGAGTTGTAGTAAGAAATAGATGGAACTCAGAAAAAGAAAGACAGGACCACAGAGACTAGAAGAGCTCAGCAATCCGAGGAAGTTTAAACTGGATATGGATGCATTTGGTGTCTCTTCAACACCAGGCGCGCTTTTCTTGGTTATCTTTCTGTACTCACAAATTGATAACATATAAGCGACGTCACCAAAACTCATGCATGAATTTGTATGCTGCACAAGAGTTATCAGCGTCAAGAGTTTGTTATTGCTAAATTTAATTAGGAAAAGTTGGATCACAATTAATAATATATTGGTTTAATTATGTGAATCTCTCTCTTGTCTATATATACAACACATGGCCTTGGTAGCCCTTCTTGGTAGATAGATCATAGGCCCTTCCATTACCAACTTCCTAAAATAATAGCTTTGATTAATTTACAGATGGCATCAACATCATCAGCCAAGAAGAAATATAACCCTGCAGACTCATCATCACTTCGCCAAGTGACCGTTTCCAGTGCACATGATGTAGTTGTTGCTCTGGAAACTAGAGATGAGCGAAAGTTTAGTTTCTGTGTTCCGGAAACTGTGAATGACGGAGATTACATGTCTATCCGAAGTCAAATTCATACTAGTAATGCATGTTACCAGAGAAATGATGTTATTGCCAACCCTAGAGATCTGACACCCCCTCCTCCTGCAGAAGATTTACCCCCATATCAGCACTTTAGAATAATGTAATCCATTAACATTAATGGTGAGATTTTTATACTAATCTGTTTGGTGACTATTGACGATTGTTAGCTAGCCTTGATCATTAATCTCATAATCAGGTGGCTAATTTCTTAACATCTCTGTCTTAATTGCAGGTTTATGCAGCTGCTGCCTGTTGCTCGCCGGAGTTTCAACTATCTTTAGCTTAATTATGTTTTCTTAGCTTTCAATTATCGATCCTGGACTATTGGGACTGTAATAATAATTACTGGACCTGGTTAATTGTTATGTTGTCTACTTCTTCATTAATATTCAAATGTTGGACTGCTAGTTTATATATGCAGTATTAATGCATGCAGTTTATTTATTTATTTTGTTTTCATGTATGTCCAAAAAAACAAACTGAGCCTAATGAAGATGAAGTCTCAGCCTTTCTTGCTTATTTATTTCTGGTCAATGGCCTTGCGTCATGATTGAAAATCTTCATTACAGTTACACGTGAAGAGATGGACCCTTCTAATCTGACATACAATAAAAGAAAGACAAGTGACCCACATTAATTAGTGCTGAAGTTTCAGATTTTAATTTCAGTTTTCAGACATGGAAACTTGCTCAAATCTTTACGTATGAAGAAGAAGAACATCATCTTATGTTGTTATATGAACCACTAGAACACAAGTGTCCTGTCCCAACAAACTGACAAGCTTACATTACGTCTGCGAATTGCTCCAAGATTGTGTCTTGAAGACAAGTTAGCCCAACAGCAGAGGTCACCGTTTGGAAGGTCCAATCTGGGCAGTTTTTTTAATTTCCTTTTCAGTCAGGTTTGTGATACCTTTTCCTTGTCCATGAGGGATTTTTCATGTGTTGGCATTTAAATTCATGGTTTCAGTTGTATTTCCTAGAATTTCGATTATTAACAGTGAACTCTCTGATCTTTAGGCGAACTAAATTCGCTTTTTATTTTTTCCGAAAAAAAAAGAAGGAAACTTCAAAGAAGAAGACGATGGAGGCGTCGGAGGTTCCCGTAGCAACAGTGACTCAGCGCAGCCAAAAGAGTCTAGAGAGCCAAGTTGGTCGTATCTACGAAAGCTTCGCCAAACTTCCCCCGGACGCCCAATTTCGAATGTAAAAGATTTTCCTTCTGTTCTTGCTTTTTTTATTTTATTTTATAACCGTTGGTTTGGTTTGGTTATAATAATGAACTTTTCTGGTTGTTGATGTTAAAGGTTGGAACTTAAGCGTGAGAATCACATAGATTACCTAAAAGGAGGTCTCAGACAACTCCCAAGCTCCTTCTGCGGTTTGTATGCCCTGTATAACTCTTTCTCTCTGCCTTTCTCTCTCCTAAATTGGATGATTAAAGTTTTGATTTTTGTGACATATGGTTGGATTTGTTTTGTCAGTCGACCGTGGGTTTGCTTTTGGAATTTGCACTCATTGGCTTTACTAGGAGAGTCTGTTGACGCCCAATTGCAAAACAACATCATTGATTTCCTTAGCCGTTGTCAGGTATGTACGTATTATAAGACAACCACATTGCTCTCTCTGCCTGCTTGAATGAAACACAAGTAAAGGCCGGTGCTTTGAGTTCTCCTCATCAAGTTGTCTTTCTCTTGCATTCCAGGACCCAAATGGTGGTTATGGTGGCGGACCTGGACAGGCAAGTATATGGTCGCCATATTTGCCCCTGGTGGCTTAGTCATTCTTGATGCATAATATTTCCTAATACCTCTTTGGCGTTATTTTTGCCATGGCTTGAATTGACCTACTCATCTCTCATTGCTTCTATGCTCTATTATGTCGTGCATTCTTCTGCTTAGATTGTTCATTGTTTTAATCAGATGCCACATCTTGCAACAACTTATGCTGCAGTCTGTTCACTCATTACTCTGGGTGGTCATAAAGCTCTTTCGTCAATTAATAGGTGATTAGTTTATGCTCCTTGAGAACAAACTCACATATTTTACACAATGCAATGCAATTCTGATCCTTCGGGAAGTGATTTGACGTGATTTTTTCTTCTACAGAAGTGAAATGTACATGTTTCTACGACAAATGAAACACCCAAGTGGCGGCTTCAGGTTTGAAATCACATTCATTTGTGTGTTCTTTTGGCTTAAAAGTAGCAAAAACTGACCCAATTTTCCAGATGTATACTTTTGTTTCTAGAAGTTTGGAACTGTATTTGATTCCTTACTTTTCCCCAGGATTCATGATGGTGGAGAAATTGATGTCCGGGCCTGCTATGCTGCAATTTCTGTTAGTCTCTCCTCTCAACACAAATTCATTCATATGTTACTGGTGCACACGCCCATTTTTATTGCATATAACTACTCTCTTCTTGAGCATAGTTCTCAAAACTCCAATATGAACTTCTCTGACTTGGGTAATAACAAAAGTTGAACATTTTGTCTCAAATGACTCTTATCCATTGATCACAAGTTCTAATAGAAGTCTGGCCGTATGGCCAAGGTGTTTCCATGTGTTCCTCTGTCTACTCCCAAAGTCTTATTGAACTTGCTAAGGCTTGTGCTAGTTGTGCCATCCTTAAATTTGTCCTAAAAGTTGTGGTAGTGTCTGAATATTCATTGAATTACTTATGGTTCTGTTCTTTACTTACAACGTTGTTATATGCTTGCTTAATTTCAACACTCATTCGCAGGTAGCAAGTATTTTGAACATTTTGGATGATGAACTCGTGCAGAATGTTGGAAACTACATCTTGAGGTTGCTTAAAGCTTGTTCTGCTTGATATGGATTGGCATTTGATTAGGGATAAATTACATTTTCTGTATTTGCAGTTGTCAGACTTATGAAGGTGGCATTTCTGCGGAACCTGGTACTGAAGCTCATGGCGGGTATGTCTCAGACTTCTATCTGTTTGAACATCATTAACACAATTTGCACAATGGCCTCTTTGCTGGATTATGTGGATGAAGTATTAAGAGACGTCGGTTGGATAGATCTATTAGTTTTGATAGATCCGATAATCTTTTTCTTCAGGTACACCTTCTGTGGGGTGGCAACGATGATTATGATCAATCAGGTCAATCAACTGGACTTGCCGAAACTAATTGTAAGAAAATTTAACGTTGTTTTCAATGAACATGTTTTGAACCCCTCCAATCCTAAGACAAATGTTGTTCTCTATTGTAATTGGTGTTAGGATTGGTTGGTATTTCAACAAGGGAAGGAGTGCGGATTTAAGGGGAGGACTAATAAATTGGTTGATTGCTGCTACTCCTTCTGGCAGGTGATTTTCTTTCCTTCATCTGTTTAGGGATTCTTCTTCATCGTCTTATAGTTGAATTAATTGATATAACCAGGGAGGTACTTTTGCATTACTACAAAGAGCATGTTCAACTATTGATCAAGAACTGGTGATCCCTGTTGGGGGCAAAAGTTTTGAAGGTAGGCTGACTTAGACAAGTTTCAGATGTTTGGCCATGTATTCTTGCTTCTTTTTTTTTGCTTAAAAATAAATTTGCCTTTCAACACCCAAATTTTGTTTTGACTTTCTAAAATTTGCCTCTTTTTTGGCTGCTGTGCAGTAAATTTCAATGATATTGGTCATAATTTTGTCAAGAGAAGGGTAGAAATGGAGCCACTTTTTGATGGACGTGCATTGCAGCTATACATACTTTTATGCTCACAGGTTTGGTTTTCAAATACCACCTTCCATCTATAGTTCTTCGAGTTCTTACTTTCCGGGGATTAATATTTTAACTTGATTTGGTTGATGCAGGAGGAGAATGGTGGATTAAAAGACAAACCTGGGAAATCCAGAGACTTCTATCACACGTGTTATGCTCTAAGTGGTCTTTCTGTAAGTCAACATATCTGGTCGGATGATGAGTCTCTACAGATGCCGAGAGCAGTGTTGGGTCCCTATTCCAATTTGTTGGAACCAATCCATCCCCTCTTCAATGTTGTCTTAGAACGCTATCATGAAGCGAGGGACTTCTTTACAACATTCTGACTCAGTAATATTATTGTCCTTTGAGGTGATGGGACTTGTGGAATTGGATTAAATTATAGGTATTTAAGTTCTGTACACGTAACATATACTCACATCCAAGAATGAAAAAGCAGATTTTCCAGCTAACACAAATTGGATTTGAACCCTTAATACCAAGCTCAATCAAGGAAAACTTGTATACCATGGGGACAACACTCTTTTGCTACAGCCACTCTAATGTTTTTAGGTACGAACCTTTAACAAAATGCAGCTCGTAACAAAAAGTTTTAAAAGCAGATGCAGAACTGTGGTAATAACAGAATGGATAAATATACGCTACCATATTCAGCCAAGTATAAAACAGAAACTGGCCGGCAACCCCTACGCGCACAGATACTACGAGCAATATTGAAGGCATCAAAATATTTCAACAGGAGTAAGTCACAGGTATGGGACTTTTCATAAGCCATCATCTCTAATGTATGGTGCACGCTACAAACAGCATAAGCTGACAAAAAGTTCCGGTATGTATTATACATCTATCTACGACAAAACGGTGCTTCCAAATCCAAAAGCAAGCCCTAATCTGGAATTTGATCATAGTCCCCATTTTCTGGAGATTGGTGTGCTGCACGACCTGCTCTTCCTGCAAAATAAAATATCACCTTTCAGACTCTCTCATAAGTCATACCTGCGAGCAATGTCTATCTATAGAATCTTTTATAATTGTGAACGTGTGGTGAGAGGGGATTATACCTGTCAATTCATAAGCACCCGTGCCTCTAGCATCCGGACCACCCCTCCAATCTGTGGGCCGTGAAGGTGCGACATGCATGCCCTGAATCATAAAATGACTTCCTCCAATAGCTTGCTGATCATCATTTCCCCGGACAAGAGTTCTTCCAGAAGAGTCAACTGCCGAGCGGAAGCTTACGTTCATCATTTCCCCAGCTGTTGGCAACTTGGTAGCAGAAGCATCACCCTTTACACCAGCAGTGACATCCTTCTTGGCATCAACCATAAATGTTCCGACAATAACCTGTAGGTGCAAATAGCAGGTGTTTAAGAAATACAGCAGAACCGTTTATCAAACATGCCAACTGAAGCAAGCAGAGACTGCAATTAAGAAGAAAATATTACAGATATGTCCCAGTGCCTAATAACATGGAAAAAATCAATTTGAGGCATCAGATGACATCCAAAGCACCAAGTCAACTATATGGTTAGCAACCCAACCCCTCCTTGCTTCAAGGCAGAGACAGAAGTAGCTAGTATCTTCTGCCACAGTTGTGCACTAACAACATATTATGGACATCTGATCAACAAAAAATCACTTTTTCTAAAATAGTACCTGCACAGGGCCTGCAGCCTTCAGGGGCCCACCAACTCCACCGCCGATGATTTGCCCATCTGTACTAGATAGGCACACACTCAGCCCACCAGCCCTCCCTCCAAGGTCAGTACGTACGTAAGACCCAGACAGTGAAATAATCTCAAAACGACCCTAACATCAGAAAGAAATCATTAAACTTTGATGGACTAAACATGAGGCAGATGATCAAGAAGTCCCAGTTCAATCTGTCAAGTTAACTGGCAGTATAAAGGACTTAACCAAACATAAGTTGAATCTTTTGAGCAACTAATGAAATGCTTTTTCAGCAGCATATGCACATTTCAAAACAATTTATTTACATAATTTTTGTTTCACAATTCCACAAAATTTCTGGATAGAAAAAGCATATGCACAATTCTAAAACTAATATTTTTATTATTATTTCTAAATAAACCACTATAGTCATTTAGCAGCCAAAACAGAAAGCAAAAGAAAGAATCTTAAAATTCATTGTCATTTCCTCCCTTTTCTCCTCCCTAACTACACACCCACACGTAGAGGAAAGACACCTTGCCTAATTATAATTGTAGCAATGAATCCTACCTGAATAAATTGGATGCTAAAATCAAACTTCAGCCACCCAAATCGCTATGGATGGTGTACTTTTTCATCAATCATATGGTGTATTCCTTGGTAGAATTTGCATGCCAATATGGCTTTCAAACCAGAACTGTTATTTTCAGATTTTGGAACGGCAGCTGTGCCGTATCTCAAATTAACTAAATGAAGATCCACCAAAAAATTAATCTGAACTTGTACATTTAGGCTCCTTAAGAGAGCACACAGATAAATTAACCTGTTAGTTGCCAATAGTGAGCACAGTTGCCCTATTGTTGCCCACCACGAATCTAATACCATCTGGAGACTCACTAATGCAAAGCAGTGACCTAGTATTGTACATTTAGGCTCATATACACATACCTTGAACAAAACGCTAAATCTGATACTCCAAATTTGACTTCAAACACAATTTGTTGCAAGATAACTGCTGTTTCTGATATTTACTTTTTTCTTTTTTCGTTACAAAGTGCACCGCCGCAGTTCCCATATGAATGGGTCAAAAGACTAAACTATCCCACTTGGAAAAGGTTGAAGAAATTTTTTTTACCTCATATGTAATGTTGCCTCCTGAAGTAGCTGGCTGGCGGAGAGAAGCATTTGAGATTGTACCAGAAGCAGACAGAATGCATATTTCACGCTTACTCTGTTGCATAAAAAACATAATTTTCTGGCCCACATCCTGTTAGACGTATCACTAAACTGTGAGAGCAGATAATAAATAAAGAAAAAATAACAATGGAAACACTCTATAATAAAGACGGCACATAAACAAGGTACAATCAGGCAATTGTTGATATTTTAGAAATACAATAATAACTGCACCAATAATTCAAGGAATTATTCTGTATCCAAGATCGGCATGTGACACATTTGAAACACAGATGTGAAAAGAAAAAAAAGTATTTCATGCAATCAGAAACGAAAGAGCTACAATCCAGTATCTGCAATTTATGGAAGAAAAGGGTGAGTTTGAAAGGAAAATAATGAATTAAACTGTCGCGGTATTCCTAAACTAACTATGCAATTGCTTTGAGAATTAATTAGGACATGCATACCTCCCCAGCAGCTACAGTTAAAACATGTGGTGTAAAACCTTGCCCTGCATTGCCTACATCAACCAATTAAGAGGAAAAGCACAACATGAGTGTGTTAAATTATAATTATTTATACCCACATTGTCAAACAAGAAAAAGATATTTAAACAGCATTCAATAAAACATATATACTTCTTATCAGCAAATGAAAACATTATACAAGGAAAATAGGGTAGGTTAGCTGGTCACCTAAGCTTTAACCAAGCCTTTTTTTTTCTTCCTAATTTTACATGACATCACAGAATAATAGAGGTTATAAATAAATACTGGGACAGAAAGGACCTTCAGAAGTGGGAAGAAAAAATTCATATTCGGCAAGTAATATACAGCATTCTTAAATGCAAATAGGTTTTAGATCAACTAACCACTGTGAACTAAATGTCGAGTTATTATCTCCATTCTCAATATAAAATCTAACAGTAAGTGTGAGAAGTTCTAGAATTCTAAAGAACAAAACAAAAAAGTCTTGCAAACCACAAAAACCTTGTGTCATCTACTGATAGAAATTCAACGAGCAATCCCAGTTTTATACTTCCATTAAACCATTGAAATTACTTTTTCATGCATCATGATTGTTCCCGGTTGCTAAAATATGCCACTTTGGACTATAATATTGACATATGCCTCACACAAGTCTTCATTTGGGGCGGGCAGAAAATCTTTTATCCAGACAGGAGCTTGTACGAGTTTCTTATCAATATCTTTCTCTCAAGCCAACCAAAGTTTCCACTCCATAAGGTGTGTGATCTGGAGAGAAATTTGGTTCATGTGAATAAAAATTACCAATTATATTATGTTCTCTTTGTATTTCCCCAAAAGCTTCTCATTTGAACAAGTGGAGGTCATACTATTCTATTTCAAAATTAATGTTTCAACTATGCCCATCATTTGGAAATAGTTAAGTTGAATTATGATAGACCTACATAACAGAAACTGGATAGAACAAGGAGAGTGAAGACACTAAACAGGCATATAAACAATGCAACCAAAAACATGTATAAACTCAGGCACTGCAACAAAACCCTCTAAACTACAACGAATTCACAATAAACCATGAAAAAATAAAATAAAAAAGAACTAATAACAAAGAGGGCAAGCACTAAGAAACAATGGATGTTAAAAAGCCCACATAAAACTGGAGCAGTTTGCAAAAGAACCCTCCTAGAAACAAAAATTTCCCAACCAAACACAAATAGGGTATTTCCAGAATACCCACCCAGAACAACCAAGTCTGAATCTTTCAAGACAATGCAACCAAAAGTTTGAAACACATATAGAAATTGAAGCAATTTGCAATAAAGACAACAAATTTCACAACCAAACCATAGAAAATCCAAAAGGCCATTTGCAACCCACCAAGAGAAAACTGCTGAGATTTCTTGGTAGACCCAGAATAAGAAGGCGAGGCAGAGCCATGGTGGTCCTTTTTCTCTTTAGAGGATGAGGAGTGAGATGACGTCGTCGCCGCCTTCTTGGCTGCCAAAGCCTGTTCCGGCGTGCCATACTTTCTGGGCCTTCCTCGCTTCCTTTTCGCGGGCTCAAGTGGCGAGGTCACCGCTGAGGAGGGCACCGAGTGAGAGTACACCATGTGGGACCCATCAGTGGAGTGGGTATTTGGCAAGAGCCCATTGGTCGGTGATGCAGTGTTTGTGGCTGTGACAGTTGCGGCGGTGCCGGTGCCGGTGGTGGTGGTGGGGTGTTGGAAGTAGGAGCTCAGTTGGTTTTCATTAGGTTCCATTTTGAGTTTTAGAGAGAGAGAGAGAGCGTGCGTCTGTGTCGAATAACAATTTTTTTTTATTTTTTATTTTACTCTTTTTAATTTTATTTTTGGTTGGTTTTTCTTGGTATGCGTTTTGTATGTGTGGTGTGATTTTGGCCGTTGGATTAGGTTTAGGTTTGATTAGACATTTTGACTCGAGTCTCTAGTGCATATTTCTTTATTACGTTTTTCTTTTTTAATTAGGTTTTCATTTGAATAATCTAATATCTATCTGATTCTATACTCATCTGTAATAAATTCAAACTCAGCAATTTCTAATCTTTAAAATCCTTAACGAAAATTAAATTAAAAATTAGTTCCTTCATTTTATGTGAGGCTAATTGTATTTGTTTTGGTGTTCAATTGCTGTTAATTTGGCACCTCACCAACAACCCTAGAGATAATACATGCCTCTTAGCGGGGCTATGTCCAAAGTAAGTAGAATTAACCATTTTCTTTTGGTTTGTTCAGCAGAAGAACAATAATATGAATTATGGTTCACATCACAAATATATGAAAAAGAAATTAAATTGTTGCTTTTATATGTCTAAATAATTGTCTAGAAGAATATTACAGATTGTATAATATAATAACTCATGAAGTGATAGACTTGTTTAATAAATCCAAAAACAAAGTGGCAGTTGTTTCGGTTGAAAAGAGGGAACCGTTTTATCTAAACAAGAAACAAAAAGTGATGTACTTTTTTCCTCTTTCTCCCTGGTTGGAGACCTTTTCTTTTTTGATACAATACAAGTTCGAGGCCTTTTCTCTCTTGCAGTTTGTGAACATAAAAAATCATATATAAAAGCATGGACTTTCTTCGAAATTTCAAACTTTTGTGCATTTACACACAGGAATGTGCTTATTAAAAATTTGGTGGAGTTGATCATGCATGAGAGCAGCACAGGGATGACAGAAGCACCATTTTCAAACAAGAAAAACGACACTGAGATCACAGTGAAGGAGCAATATGGTCAGTTTTTTTAAAAAAAAAATTATTGTCTGTGGTGTGTAAATACTAAATACTAAATACTAAATAGGGTCGTTATAGGTGGAGATTCTGATGACAAAGAAATTGTGCAACTGCAAATTGAGGGAAGAGACTTGTCTTTGGTAGATGGGACGTATGATAAGCCTCTTGCATGCTTTGGTTGTGGCATTGGATGGTTCTCGTGAGTTCTATAATTCCAAGATGCTTACTTTTTCCTTCCAATTAGAGGACAGAAGAGATTGATTTTGAGTTTGAATGCTTCTTATAAATAGGTTTCTCTTGGGATTTGCGTTTCCACCAATATGGTATTATGCTACTGTGCTTTATTTTGGAAATTATCTTAAAGGCCCCAGAGAGCGACCTGGCCTTGCAGCATCTGCAATTGCAGTAAGAATGACACCAAAAATGCTTTTGCCTTTCATTTTAATTGTAATGAGATTTTGTTTTTCCTTGTGCTGAAAATCATATTGGTGCAGGCTTTAATTTGCTCGGTCATTGTCTTGGTTACTCTGCTTGCTGTTTTTTGGTAGCAGATGCTACCAAGTTTCTTCCAGAAAAGCAGAGGACGTAGCCAAGAACTGTTGGATTATCAATCAAATTGAAAATATTAGTAGTTAGGAATGTAACCGGCAGATGTTCTCTTTTGCCACCGATTGTTGTAACATTTTAGGGTGTTCTCTTTTGCCTCCTACTGCACATGTTTTAGTCATTATCTTCATAAGCCGATCTCAAGTTTGTGTTATTGGACTTCTGTTTTACTTTCTCTCAAAATTTTGTTGATAACTTTTGCAACATAGGGCAAGAAACAAACTCAGGACGAATTGAAGTAAATATATCTTCACAAGTATCACAATATCTTGCTGAACAGAGTTTAAAGACAAAAGAATACCCGAGGACCTTAAAATTAGTAGATATCTCACTGCAGTCAGTTAAACAAAACCACAGCCTCTTCTCACCAAAAGCATACAACGATTAAAGTGATCACACAAACACTAGTTGACATGCACACCCACAATATGAAGTTCTGGCGTGTACAGTGGATACAACAGCCAGGGAACCATGGCTCCGTTCTTTTGATTGATATATTTACAAGAAATAAAGGTTTCGCTTAGCTTAGCAATTTACAAAGTCCTCCACCGCTCTTTTAGAACTTTTCCTTTAGGGCCTCCTCATCAGTGGTCTCTTTGTCTTTGATAGAAACTGGTGCCACATTAAGTACTTGTGAGCTCTTAAGTCCCTCTAGCTGCAATACAGAGCATAATTAGGTGACTTATATAACAAAGTGGGAGTAATGGGCATACACAGTTCAAATGAACATCAGAAGCAAATGCAACCATACATATCTCAAATATTCCACCACAGGGAACGCCTTAGTTTACTAAAGCTATACCACATATTAATAGTCATCTAATGAGTTGGTGTAGCAGATATCTTTTATTACTCAACCGACCTCAATCCAAAAGAATTACAGTAGTTCAGATTGATATATTGCCAATTACATTGGAAAATAAGGAGGTGTATTGCAATGCAAACAATGAAGGGTCAAGATGGATACATGCACATCAGTGCTGCAATCCATCTATAATCAACTTTGAAGAGACAAACCACTCATATTTTCTGTGATTCCAATTCAAATTGTACACAACTATTACACTTTCAAATACTTTAACTTTATTACTCAATTGATCATACAAATAGCAGGGTGAGTCAGTAGGTCTTTTGCACTATGAGTATGTAACATAACTTAAGTTGTATATTTCTATGATTTCTGTCCATCTCTCCCTAATTAACTATGTAATCGTAATGCATACTGAAGGGGTCATACTTATTTCTTGCCCTCACATGTTAATACTTAAGTTCACAACTCTGTCCATCTGCATTTGATGAAATTATTAACACAGTTTATCACCCTATAGGCAATATGGTGTCTGAAACTTAATGACGTCTCTTAGCCAATGCTTAGATTAAGCTCAAAGTACAGGTGGATTCAAAATCTAGAAAAGTACCTCAGTGCAGGTTTCTTGGTGTGCTGCCAAAAGTGTGTTATACTTTTTCTGCAACTCTGATAATTCAGCCTGTACCTTTTCATATTCTGACACAGATGGACCCCCTAACTTTTGTTGAACAAACCTGTCAAAAAATTATAAATCAAAAATCAAAATATATCTGAACATTTGCACACCGGCATAAGCATGGAAAAAATTATCTCACAAGACAATTCTATTTGGATGTGATACATGAAACAAAATACATTTGTTAGCACAAACCAGAACAAACAGAAGAACACAACTAAGCACAACTACTCAACACTTGCAAAAGTAAAAGATGGAATATTGCAATTACTACCATTTCCAAGACGAAATGATACACAACTGAAATAGCATTCTGACAAAACCCCATAAATATAGACTAATTAATACATAACAAGCACATTATGTTCAAAGCCTCACAATTTCTGCTAGTACGCTTGTATTACAAATATCCTAAAAGTTCAAGATTATATTGGGCAACAAAGTGCAATGCGCAATGACAATGAGATACTTAAAAAGAGAATGCAATACCGGTAAAAGCTAAAATCTAACTTTTGATAAAGTGATGTGGAAGAATGAATAACTAATAATAACATATGAATTCTTGGGTAAATACCATATGATTTCAGCCTAATTAATAAAAACTGAAAAAACTGGCAGTATAGCTGTTGGTATTAGTTGAGCTAGCAAATCATTTAAAGCTTGATTCTTGGTTCAAATAGAGCATTTGGATCACAGAGTCAAGGAGATGAACTCACTCAAGCGCAGAGGAAGGTTTGTCATTCTGCTCATATAACGCAACCAGAACTGTCCCAGAGAAAATTACAAAAATAAAGAGAATAAATGAAAATGTACATCAAATAATTTATTTTAAAAAAAACCAACCCACAAAAACAAAAAGGAAAAGACTTAAGCTTTACATTAAGAAACGGAAAACTTGATAGAAGTCAGAAGGAGAGAGCAACAAACCTTTGGTGAGGGCATCAAGAACTCCACTGGATTCTAAGTACTTCCTAAAAGCTTCTTTCTTTGCCTCTTTTTCCTGAACATACATTCACCAGACAGTGATTAAACCTTTTTCATGAAAGACCCAAAAATAAAAAATGAAAGAAGTAAAAGTGGATCATACCTCTTTGTAGTGCATCATGATCTTCGCCTTCTATTTTCTTTGATCTGCCGTGGTGGGGGATTTCCGTTTTTCTTGCCTTCGATTTGGTCTAGCCGTAAATGGAAGCTCTTGTAGTATGGTATTGACATGGGCCTACCTTACCGCTACCAGTCCAATCCAAACCATTATTTTCGTCATGTTTCGACCACATGGGCCTCCATTTCAAATGATATGGAGGTCTTTTGTATCATTATTATTTTTGAAATATTGACATTGGAGTTTAAAGTTTGTATCATTAGGAGGCATTGCAAAAAACCCAATGTTGTTTTCACTGTCCTATTCAGATTTTGTTGTATTTTGTTGGATAGAAAATGGACATTTTGATGCATGTTTGAATGCGCACCCAAGTTCTCACCATGTAGATTTAGACAATTTTACGAGTGAGGGCCATATGACCGAGGGCCATATAGAATGTTTAGGTGAGGCTGTATCTCTTAATCGTTAAATTAAACTGATTAACCGAGGGCCATATGGCCTTTAGGTGAGGCCGTATTTCTTAATCATTAGATTAAACTGATTAACCATTGGATCAAATTGATTAGTATAATTCAACAGTTAAGAGATAAGGCCTCACCTAGCCCTCACTATAGAATGTTTGGAGCTGTTCATTTTGGCCCCAGCGTATAATATGAAAAGAGATCCACCTTCTCCCATCTTTCATTCGATGGTCTAAGAAGTGTTCAATCCAATTAGCAAATTCAGCTCTTGGATCAAATCATATTCATAGTAGTGCATGACAGTGGGCCCATATCACCTGTCCATGGAAAGCTAAAACTTTTCTTCTGTAACATATATACATGAAATTGGTGCAATCCCAACAATCAATTACAGGGAAGACTTTAAATCAACATCGCTCAATCTCTCTCTGTCCCCACACGCGTACGCAAACACTTGATTGGTGGAGGAGCAAAATAATGAAAACGACGTGGGGAAAGGAATTGCATGAAATGCACCAGAACTTTCACCATGATAACAACGTGGGAAGTAGCAACACTGGAAGCATTACTAACAAGCCGTATTGCACAAAGGAATCGACATCTTCAATTTTTTCCACCTTGTCATTAATAGTATTCCACAAATGTCTGAAAGCACCCTGTTGTTCCTGCAGCATTCATTCCTTCCCATCACAACAATGTTGTAAAGAAACAAAGCTTTTTGAACAAACAGAAGGGAAGGGATATAAACAGTCACCTCTTTTTTGGGGTTACTGATTTGATCTTGACCATTTGAATCTGCCAAAATTCTTCTTTCATTGTCATTGGCTGGTTGATCAAGGGGCATCTTGATTTCAGCTCTGCTGAAACTTTTTATTGAAAGGGCTTTATAAGTTGAATCAGTATGTATAGTTTCCATGACTGAACCAAAGAAGTTCGTCACGGGCACCTAGAGAGAGTATTTCCCAGCATCAAAGTAAAGCAAGCAACTTCAATAGCTCCAAATTGAGAAAATTAAGTTTAAAACTTCCCTACCTCTTCCAGGTGTTGCTGGTATAGATCTGTTCTGTAATATGCGGTTGACATCAACAAGGTTGGGTTATAGGAATTGAAAAGACTGCAAAATGATAATCACATCCCACAATAAATATTAATTTTGAAGAAAAATCACTTACACTGTAATGGTTCTGTACACTTTGAAAGATATAATTGCCACAATGAAATAGGTATGCAATTTCTTAAATATACCTGCTCAATGAGGCATTGTCATACATATTTAGCCTCTCAAAGAACGCAAGGGTGTAAAATGTAAAACGATCTACAACAGAAACACCCACCTGTATCAAGCAAACAGTGTGACTATAATTAGATGAAATGCCAGTAAGTGGTATCAAATACCTGGATTTTTTATTAATCAAGAACATGGAATAGCATTCTCAATCAAACCAGTTTAAATATTAAAAACATTTTATGCCAACAAATCCACCATACATCAGAGTCCAAGTGATGTGAGTATGAGTTCTCCCCTTTCATGCTACTTCCAATAGCCAAAACTCCGGGTGATTGAAGCTGCAAAACTCAAAATATGATCTTTCATTTAGTATAAAAGCATGTGAATAGAACAATTTCATCAAGGATACTCTCTTTTCAGATTATGAAACTATTATACACAATCATAAAGAATTTGTCACTGTGCAATGAAGTCAAACAAATGTTTCCATTCAAGCTATCCTATCTGCAAAAGTGTACACCAGGATGGTATATTTTTGAGTTTAAGTTTTTTTGTACATTCTTTTTAAACATTATAATTTCAGTCCGAAAAATTGAACGAAACAGGATATAGCTAAAATATATTATGCTTTTCTTTTCTAAGAACAGGAAGGAGCAGATCACAAACCTGAGAGAAGAGAGTGGCCGCTTGGCAAGTGTCCACCATTATCAGCAGCTCCTTGAATCTAAAATTTTGATCACGTTATCAACTTCATATGAGTTCATTTGTCCAGCAGTGACGATCAATAGGAACAGTCATCAACATGGATATAACAACATGTAAAATATAAAAAATTGTCCCAAACTAAATTGATAATTGATAATTTCATAAGAAATGTAAATTATTGTATTCATCTGATAATCATTTTCTCCCTATTTCTAGTATTAAAATGTAAGAAATTCTTATACAAATGTAAAAGGCAACAGTGGTAGAGGTAAAAAATCCTAACCTATGCTTTTCTTTCATTTGTTTAACTGCATCAGCTAAATCATGACTCTGGAGCTCTTCCGAATCTTGAAATTTTAAAAATTCATCTCCTCCATGTCCTGTCATATACAAAAGAATGTGGCTTCCTTCATCACTCAAAAGACGCTTAGATCTTGGAACAGCATTCTCATGACGCCCAGTCAATACACGTAAAAAATTTTCAACTGTCACTTCATAGCCTCGATAATCCACCTGATAGATTCAGTTTGGTAAATCAGCCATATTTGGAAAACTATTTGAAGCAAAGTAAAAGACCTAAACAGATAGAAGAAAGCTCACCTCAACATTATCTCCATACAAGTTGAGTCTGTGGTTTTCATTGTTAAAAACTTGGGCAGGATACTTGTTTCTAGCATTACAGGCCATGTCATCTGCCAGCATAAGTATTATTCTCTCATCAGGTATTCCAAGTCGCTTAACAGTCCTGTAAATCAAAAGAAAAACACACTGAAGTAACCATGAAAGAAAAGAAAGAATGACAGACAAGAAGATGATCTAGGAGGAAAAGACCGTGTTCTTACCGATACAGGGATAAAGTATTGGCCATGTGTCGATAATTAAACCTGAAGACAACAGTGGGATATGTAAATCAAATTTCAATATTGTAGAACTATGAGAGATTGAAATAGGTAGCTCAAGATTCTTTAAACTAGCTCATTACAATGATTACAAGAATTCAGTGACATATATTGATTCTTTCGATGAACCCTTAAGATGAAAATAGGAAGACTTCCGTTTACTTAGTGTCCCTTAATGCTTCAATAATGTTTAAATTAAAGTACTGAATGCAAGAGAGCCAAGCAAGGTGAAAGAACTGTAGTTTCTCTCTAAAAGAAGACTGAATATGTGATAGAGACAGCTCTATTCAACTCCCCCAGCATTGAAAATATGAAATGCTGAAACAAGTAGATGGCCATTTCACAAGTTTAAATCTATACCAAAGCCGAAGATGAATTAGTGTACATTCATGCATCCACATCTAGAAAAATGGTTATGGTTCATAGAGTACATCTTTCCAACTTCTCTTTTGCATTGTTGCCAAGGATGGTAAAAAAACTGAGCAAATAAACTAGAAAGTGCTCATGGATGGATACGATCCACATAGTAAGCAAACTAATAATCAATATCAAACACACCCGAATTTTTATCAAAAAATTAAATTAGTAAAAGATAAAGTAAAGAAACTTTTATAAGGCTATCGGAAATTATAAAATGGACGAGGGCGATATCTATTTCTGATTTCACACAGAAATAGAAAAAAGACAAGTTGAAAAGAGCAAAACAAAGTTTGAATTACCAGAATCGAGAGGTGCAGACCAGAACAGCCCAATTGTTAGTGTGCATAGTGGTCTCAGAAGAAGAAGGAGAACCAAACGCCATGCATTTGGTGACAGTGCACGGACCCAGAAGCAATAACGCCGCCGCCACCACTAGGGATTTGAATAAATTGCACATCTTGCAGCGGATGCTTGAATTCTTATGAACTTAGGGTACAACTTGTCAAAAAGAAAAGAAAATCTGGGTGGGTAAAAATGAGGGAGCAAGCAAATCTTGCCTTGAGCTTATATGGAATTAGAGACCCAAATCTGTTAATGGCACAACGAGGCTTGTCATCTCGATAATTTTCTTTCCCTCCCAGAGATTAGCAGCCTATATCTCACTCTTCTTCTTCCCCTTCTCTTTATTTATTTTTCCTGTTACGTTATTGAAGGCCGGTAGACATGTAAACTTGACCCGCTATATAGTTGACCCGCCACGCCAAAACCAAACAAAGCTGGCCCGAAGACAAAAGAAACAATAAGCTGGTCCCCGAAAAGCCCAATAAAATCCCAGTGAGGTCACAATCCAGTCAAAAACCCACTTGGCCACCTGAAATTCATCACTTCCCAATTTCCCAAACCTTAAGACGCTCAAGCTGAAGGGCAAGCACCCATTTACTTGCTTTTAAGCTAAGCATTCTCTCAGGTACGCTCTTTTAAGCTACACATTCTTTCTTTCTTTTATGCATGCTTTTGTTTAATTGATTCTCTTTCTTTCTTTTGATATAATTGATGAATGGGGCAAAAATGGTAGATGGGCTAATGTAGTTACCGTCTTTCGTTTCCATTTGATTGCTTAGAGTAGGAAGTGAAGGTGATAACGTTCTGGGTCTTATGTTCTCTGTTGTATCAGTATCGGACAACTTGCAAGATGAAAACTTTAAGGTGTCAAAAGCAATTTTTGTTTGGCTTTGCTGAGGAAAGCTTTGGTCTTTTTACTCGATGGATTTAGTACAATGTAAATGAGTAACCAGATTATAGACAAATTCTGGGTTTTTGTGATCATAAGCTGTTCAAGTGTTAGAAACTTTGAAGTTTGGAGCTTGGGTTTGTTTCTTTAGAACTGGTGAAGGGCAATTCCGCAATTCAGCAAATTGGTTGCAGGGCTCGTATGGGTTCAATCTTGTTCTTTTGCCCTCAATCCCTCTTCTTTCCCGAATTCGCGAGCCAAAGCTTATTATCTAACAATTATTTTAATTTCAGTTGCATATTTGGTTATAGTTTGAAAAAAAAAATCTGAAGTTGAAAACAGTTCTAGCGATATGTTGCTTACCAGATTATGATAAAAGATTGCTGAGCAATATAGATCAAATAAACGTCTATCGTCGCTGATGGATATCATTACTAGGTTATGTTGATATAAGAAAATATTTTAATTTATCAGTAGTAGTAGTGTTTTAAATCATGGACAACTGGTGACTTATAGATTTGTGTCTTTTTATGTCAATTGAGATGCTTTAATATTGGATATGATCTGCTACACATTATTAGGACTGTACTCGTACAGTGGAGCATGCTCTCCGCACAATTTTATGTGTCCAGATGAAGGGTCAAAAGAGGTCTGCAAATGATATTCATGCTGCATTGACTGATGACATCCTACACGAGATCCTCCTTCGACTGCCAGAGAAATCTGTTTTCAGTTTCATACTCGTATCAAAGAGGTGGCTTCGTGTGATATGTAGCTCTTCTTTTCGAAAGGATTACCATGCTCGATGGAGAATAAATTTTCATCTTTTGGGCTTCTTTGTGTGCAATCATCTATACCTTGGAAGATCTAAACATGGCATACGCCGGCCCCCATCAGAGCGTGCACTTCATTTATTGTCAACTTGTGAGGAAGGCGATAATTTACTGGTTTCTGGGATCCCCAAACAGATTGGCTATTTCATTGACTCTTCCAATGGCCTTCTTCTTTTCGGCCGTCACCCAATGACATATTCTGTGTGGAACCCAATCACCAAACAGCTATGCCGACTTCCTCAACCTCAGCGGTACTATAAAAGTTTGTGTATTGCATTCTTCAGTGTCACCGAGGAGTGTTTTGATGACATCATCCACTACAAGGTTATTCGGGCAAGATGTGACTGCAGACGTGATGAAGTTAATACTGTCTCCATTGAGACTTTCTCTTCAGTGACTGGTACATGGAAACATTATACGCTCACTTGCTCTTCAACATTTGCCTTGCGTCCTTGGGCAGTGGCTACTGTACTTAGTGGTGTCATATACTGGTTTGCAACCCAGGGAAATCTAGCCATTTATGATCCATGTCTTGGAGATAGGCGTATAGTTTTGCTTAAATTACCAGATGGTAAGATTTCTCAAGATTATGATGAGTGTGTTCTTGGGGAGGCCCCAGATGGGCTTTTGCAGTATGGTCAGAGCAGCACATCAGGCATGGAGATATGGGTTCTTGAGAGGGAAGGAAATAGTTTCTCATCAAACATGCAATCACAGAACAGGTGGAATTTAAGGTACAAACTAAGTTTCAAAGCAATGTGGAAGCAAAATCCAGACTGTGCAAAGAATTCTAAAGAAGCTCAAATATTGTCATTCCTTCCACAGAATTCTGAATATGTCTTCATAAGGGCTGGATGGAACATATTTCTCTTTCACCTTAAAAGCCGAAGGCTTACACTGATTCCATATCTTGGTCGTGACTCTTCTATTCAATGGGATGACAGTCAAGTAATGCCTTACTTTAGACCTTCTTGGCCGCGCTCCTGTTTATGCCCCTAAAGACTTACGGAGGAGAAAGTTGTAGACATCTATTTCATACAATCCCTGCGAGTGACCTGTGTTGCATTTAGTTGTTTTATGTAATTAACATATGACAGTTTCCTTAGAATATTGAGATGAAGTTCTTTTTGCTGTTATATATATATGTGCATAAAGTTTTCTTTTACCTTTTTATGGCGACTTCAGTATTCTTTTCCCCCTTTCTCTTTTTTCTTCTGTTTAAAGATTCTTTTCTGACTATTGATTGATATGCATTTTATAGTGCGGTGGAAAACAGCACTGGTAATTGTAAATGGTTGTAACATGTAAAGTAGAACATTAGAAAGGCTCTGTTTACAAGTAGAACATTTGGGCAGGGCAGGGCAGGGAACCACTGGTTAGTTTGGAGCTTGGATCTTCAGCTCCCCAAAACTGTTTAACAGTGGAAGGAATCATATACAAGTATAAAAACCAAATCTTTGTAAGTGCGTCTGCCAGTTGAAGCAGGGGAGATCCTAAACTCTTTCATATTTATTATTTTAAAGCATGTTTCTGAAAGACAAAACTTTCTGTTCTGTTTAAAAGAAAAAAAGCAGGACGGCACATTCAAATACAAACACAGAGGAAAATAAAGAAAATCCAGTCCGTTAAAATTTTTCGAAGACTTTGATCCCAATCCAACGGTTTTCATGATGGGTAGCAAATGTTTACAATACATTCAGATACACAAGATTGGAACATCCCCAGACCGAGAGAACACTACGACACAAGGAGATGTACCGTTAAAGAAAGAGAGAGAAGACTTGGTTAGTAGCCACTAATTGGCGCGCAAACAAAGGAAAGCAACCGAAACAAGAGGCCCTTGTGAAGAATGTCACTCCCACAACCGACTCGATCCACATTCACTTCCCACACACAATCACACAATCAAAACTTTCCCACCTCACCAATCAACCAATCTCTGTTTCTCTTTCTACCCCTTCCCATTTTTTCCTTCACTTTCTTGCCAACTTTCCCGGAAAATGGAGTTTTTGTCTGACCCCATTAACCTCGACTCTTGTTCATTCTCAAAAGTTTGATGGTTTTGCTCAAAAGGGTCTCTTTCTCTTATGGTGTCTGGTGGAAAGGAACACTTCTCAGCTGGAGTTGGGAGCTGATTTGTCATGCATCTCAACTTTTGAATAAAAGTACTTGATGAGCTTTGGATTGGCAGCCTAGAAAAGAAAAATGGTACGTGCGGTCTTTTGTTGAATTTCATAAATTGACATTTGTTGATTTCCGTATATCCATGGTTTTGTCTTCCTTTAATTTGTAGATTAAACTAGGTTTCCGAAATTCAGTTAAAAAAATGTACGTTGCATTCAAAAACTAGTTCCAGGGATCAGATGGTTGTTGAGTTTGATAATAACAAATGATTAAGTTTTCTTTTTATGATCGAACATATGATTAAGTTAGTGTCTGTGATGCAAAATGGAACGGTTGTTTAGTGTATGTTATCCTTTACAATAGCCCAGTGTTAGCTTGTGATTACCAGATTGGGATTCTTTGCTTCTCAGAGATGTGGTAACCGAAAATTTCTTTGCCAAGGGTGTAATAAGAATGGAGGGATGTGCGTGTGTCTGTGTGGTTTTCTGAACTAGCTATTCCTTTAAAACATAAATTTCGTAAACAATTTAGCTGTAGAAGAAACTACTAGCTTTTCTGTTCCTAGGTAAAACACAAGGCATATGACAACTCGAACTAAGCATTGAGCAAGAGAGATGAGTGTGCTTAGCATCACACTGTACTTTTGGTGATGGTGAAATAAATGTGGTGGGCATACCTGACATAGACTTAGTAGATATGCAACAGCAATAGGACAAAAGGTGTTGGCACATATTTTGTTGGAATAATTTGCCCCTTTATTCTTTTTCCAGTTTTCATACAAAATGATTCAGAAGTAGTCTTCAGAAATGGTTATTGGTGAAGTTTGTGTTTATGATGACATTTTAAATAAAAATTTCTCTATAATTTCATTCCTTTGTATCTTCAACTACAGGGAACACCAGTAAATATTATTGTAGGATCTAATGTCTGGGTTGAAGACCCGGAATTGGCTTGGATTGATGGACAAGTGTCAAAGATTAATGGACAGGAAGCTGAGATCGAGAATACCAATGGGAAGAAGGTGCATTTCCTGTTACTAAACGTGATGTGTTTGTTTTTGTCCTTTTCATCACTTGACTGCAAATCAACTAAATCATCAGAAATAACTTTTATGTTTGTTCTTTGGAATTCACCATTGCTTCTAGTATTGGGCTCTAATTTCTATTTTGATGCTATTAAGATTGTTGCCAAATTATCAAAAATATATCCAAAAGATATGGAAGCTCCTGCTGGCGGAGTCGATGACATGACAAAGCTATCTTATTTGCATGAGCCTGGAGTTCTGCAGAATTTAAAAATTAGATACGAACTTAATGAAATCTATGTAAGTTTCCCGCCCTTCATTTTGAAAAACTTACTAAGTTTTTATTCAAAATGAGAATCCTTACTCTGTATAACGATGGTATCTGCAATAATATATGCCTTCATTTCTATCATGATAGACTTATACTGGAAATATCCTTATTGCCATTAACCCATTCCAAAGACTGCCCCATCTCTATGATGGTCACATGATGCAACAATACAAGGGAGCACCATTTGGAGAACTAAGCCCTCATGTTTTTGCAGTTGCAGATGTTGCATACAGGTTACCTTCATTTACATGCCATTGCTCAATTTATCAATAAACCAAATATTTACAATTGATTCTTTGAACAAACCAGGGCAATGATTAATGAAGGAAAAAGCAATTCAATTCTGGTCAGTGGTGAAAGTGGGGCAGGTAAAACTGAGACCACAAAAATGCTAATGCGGTACCTTGCATTTCTGGGTGGCCGGGCTGCAACCGAAGGACGTACAGTTGAACAGCAAGTTCTTGAAGTAAGATGGATATCCTACCTTTGATTAGCATTTATATTAACCTTCAATTACTCGATATTATCTTCTATATATCAAACTCGAGTAGTTTCTTATACAATTCTTACAATGCTTCTTTCTTTTCTGAGTGCAGTCAAATCCAGTTCTTGAAGCATTTGGCAATGCTAAAACTGTTAGAAATAACAATTCTAGGTAAGATACTCTTGCATTTGGGCAATGAAGTAGGATGTTGATTCTCTCTGCCCTTGGCTTGACTTTTTTATCTCCTGGATTTTCCTTATTCACTAGTATACTGCTGAGTCAATATGATGATGAAGACTATATCAGCAATCATTTGCTGCCATGAATTACTTTACCTCAAGTATCTTCTGATAAATTTACATTGGTGTTCTCTTTAAATTGTGCAGTCGTTTTGGTAAATTTGTTGAAATCCAATTTGATAAGCAAGGAAGAATATCAGGAGCAGCCATTAGAACTTACCTTCTGGAACGGTCTCGTGTTTGCCAAATTTCTGATCCTGAACGGAACTACCACTGCTTCTACCTTCTTTGTGCTGCACCACAGGAGGTAAGATCCTGTTGGAATGCAGATTTCTTTTCATACAACTTCGGGCTAATATTTGTTAATGTTGACAGGAAATTGAGAAGTACAAGTTGGCAAATCCTAAATCATTTCACTATCTTAACCAGTCACGTTGCTACGAACTGGTTGGTGTAAGTGATGCCCATGATTATCTTGCCACAAGGAGAGCTATGGATGTTGTTGGAATAAGCGCTAAGGAGCAGGTAGCCTCTTCCTAATTTCTTTCTAGCATGGAACCTTAGAAAGACACTCATCTCAAACAACCCCCCCACTTTCTCTCTCTCTCTCTCTCAGGAAGCAATTTTTAGAGTAGTTGCCGCAATTCTTCATCTCGGAAATATTGAGTTTGCCAAGGGAACGGAAGTTGATTCGTCAGTTCCAAAAGATGATCCAGCCAAGTTCCATCTCAAAATGACTGCAGAGCTTCTCATGTATTTATTCTTTCATCTTATTGCCCTTGTAATGTGTATTCCAGTGTGTTTTTCTTTCATATTGTAATATTTGTGATAATAACATTACCACAGGTGTGATGTTGATGCATTGGAAGACGCATTATGCAAGCGTGTCATGATCACACCAGAAGAAGTTATCAAGAGAAGTCTTGATCCTCAAAGTGCAGCCATTAGCCGTGATGGTTTAGCAAAGACAATATATTCTCGATTGTTTGACTGGTTAGTCACTAGTGTTTAAAACAACATTTTCATATTTACATCTGGTTCATGAACAAGTATCCTAATTACCAGGAGAAGCAAATTGTAGAGTGAGAAATAAAATGCTGATGTGATCCTAAGCTACTTGTATTTATACAGGTTGGTGGACAAAATTAATGTCTCAATTGGACAAGATGCTACCTCGAAATCTCTGATTGGGGTCCTTGACATCTATGGTTTTGAAAGTTTTAAGACCAATAGGTAACAACTAATGAACATAATACCATACATAGACTACATGGATGTCCCTATATGTGTACATTCTATGGTAGTTTTGAGCAGTTCTCCCCTTATGGGTTGGCATTATTTTGCAACTTAATTTCAACATATCGTCCTGTCCAGTTTTGAGCAGTTCTGCATTAACTTCACAAATGAGAAATTGCAGCAACATTTCAATCAGGTAATGACACAGATTATTATCTTTAGCTTTCTCTAATGTTTATATTCTAGATTACTATTATTATTGTTATTATTTGAAAATTACGTTTTTCCTGTACATTTTCAGCACGTCTTCAAGATGGAACAAGAAGAATACACAAAAGAGCAGATTAATTGGAGCTACATTGAATTTGTCGATAATCAAGATGTCCTGGATCTTATTGAAAAGGTTATTCCTATTCTTAGTATCAGTTTCAGTGTTTAGTTGATTATCATATCTAAACTGGACAGTAATTCATTAAAAGAACCTGGTTGCCAAGGCTGTCTGGTCAGAAGTTTATTTATAGGCATTGATGGACAAATAGAATAACATATTGGTTTTCAATG